CGCTTCTTTCTCCCAGTCCGTGTCGTCCCATGATGTCTTCATATCCAGTGTTGTCCGTTCCAACCTTGGCGTTGAAATCTCCCATCAGAATGGTCAGGTCCTTTGTTGGGCACTTCTCGACGATTGACTGCAGCCTATTGTAGAATTGATCTTTAGCGTCTTCATTGTAGTCGTTGGTAGGCGCATAGCATTGGATGATGTTCATTGAAATACCCTCTTTCTTTGTTTTGAAGGAGGCTTTGATGATCCTTGGTCCATGAGATTCCCATCCTATAAGTGCATTTTGCGCTTGTTTGGACAGCATCAATGCAACTCCTTGTGTATGTGGTGCATTTTCTTCTTCATGGCCGGAGTATAACAGGAGCTCTCCTGTAGTTAGTCGTTGTTGTCCAACTTGTGTCCAATGTGTTTCACTGATCCCAAGTACCTCTAGGTTATATCTTCTCATTTCTGCAGCAATTTGGAAGGCTCTATCGGTGTCCCACATTGTACGAACATTCCATGTACCTAAATAAATGGTTGCTCTGGTTGTCAGAAGGGGCATCGGCCTCGTAACTTCCGAAGGAATTCGGCTTTCATCATGAGGCGTCATAATTCTTCTAAATGAAGACCTTCTGACTCCCAGGGCAGAGTTTAAAAGGTTTGAATAATTTTTTCTGGTTAGCGTTTTTTTAGCGAGTTAGTTTTCTACGGGATGGGGACGCTAACCCCATGCCCAACCCTCCTCCTTTATCCGGGCTTGGGACCGGCAGTAGCCCCCGGAGGGACTCCAGGCGGAGTTATAAGCGTATAAGACATTCTATATTCCTTAACCGGTTTGTCTTCATACAATCTTCTAGGCTTTCAGAGAGTCAAGACACAAGTAACTCGGTTTTCCCGTTATTTAGATTTTGTATCATCAAAAATATTGAGCGAAATATATTGTAACTCATTTAAACTGAAGCTGATGAAAAATGAAGCCATGGATAATGGTTTGTGAACGCCAATTTCGAATAAATATCGCTGTAATGTGGCGTATAAAACAAGCAAGCCAGATGTTGACGAAGTTATTTAGGACGTTCTGACTTACTACGATCTAGACCAATCGCTTGGCCGAGTATCTTCTGTTAAGGGGTGACCATTTAGCTTGTTATCATTGTAAGATCCATTTTGAAGGTTTTATGTGTTGGTGAAAATCGCTCTATGTATATACTTGTACTTTGTTCCTATTGATTCCCTCAGTTGTACATTGTTGTATTTTGTTCACATTTGAATTGTTAATACTTGTATTTTTTATTATAGTTTTTGTTTTTCTTACGCATTCACTAAGTTTGTGTTTCTTCCTGAACTGCATCCGTGTTGTTTTACTTGACACTTGTTCTTGGTGGTGGCCATATTGATTTGCTCCTCCTGTTGTGTGTGATCTATCCAGTCAGGATAGAATAACGTTCATTTGTTGTAACTGGTAATTTTTCCTCATCTTCTACCAACTTCTTTATTTTTTGTAATCTAGATTTAATTGATTGAACAATCATTGGTTGAATAGCCGGGTGGTAATATTTGTTTAGGTAACGATTTACATTTAAATTTATGATGAATTATAGAACCGCTAGTTACCCGATTACTTGTTCTGATTTCGACGGGAAAGGGCGCGTGTCTAAAATCCACGGTCGGCTATTCTTCAACATCCAAACCGTAGTTTGGATTCTACAATCATCAGCATCAATACCAAAATCTTGAGAAGCTACATAGTTTTGGAACGTTCTTACGACTCCGGATCATTCACATGTAGCAACCTAACAGGTTCCGAAAATGTCTCATTTTTCATTCCTCGAGTTTAAATACTCACTTGTTATCACAGCACTGAATATATTCTAAAGTTGATTAATATATTTTGATTATATTCTTTATACAGATTTAAATTATTCCAGTTTCTATTCGCGAAATTTCCATTTAACAAGTACCGTTGAGCTTATAATGTAGCCTTTTTTCTGTCAGGGCCATTTATGGATGGCTTGAATACGATCGTTTGTATAAAATCAACTTGGCTGACAGAGCCGCGCATATTGTTATTTGTGACATGTCACGAAACTTTGACAGAGAATGATGCCGAAGCCACTCTGGGTGAAGCACGAAGGCACTTAAACAGGCTTCGGATCTGTTACATCAGTGCACCAAGCTTACCTAATAAGCGATCAGAACTAGGTGTGCAGATTGACTCTACAAAGCCAGACATAATCGCAGTAACAGAAACCTGGTTGACACAGGCTATAGACAGTATGGAACTTGATTTCGAGGGTTTTACGTTAGTAAGGGCCGATAGAACACAAAAGCGCAAAAGAGGGGGAGTAGCTCTATTCATTAGGAATGTTATCCCATTTGCCATTATCGATAGTGTATCCCATGAAAGTGGGACGTGTGTATTAGTTAGTCTTCGCATAAAATGCAAGGGACAAGTGCTGCTGATTGGTTTGGTCTATCGCAGTGCAAGCTGTGAGGCAAATGAGATCCTGTTAAGCAGTCTCAATACTTGGTCCCAAAGTGGTCGATATCTAATCCTAGGGGACTTCAATGCACCTATGGTAGACTGGGAAAATCTGCGAACTAAATCGTCAGAGAGTTCTTTCGAGCAGGAACTAGTTGATGGGGTTATCACATGTGCTCTAGTGCAACATGTGAAAAAAGCGACAAGGTACGATCCGGACACTGAATCATCCTTATTAGATCTTATACTGACTCACTATGAGGATGATGTTGCGAACCTCCACCATATACCACTCCTAGGTAAAAGTGACCACGCAGTTTCAACTTTCGACTTCCATATAACTGCCAGTCACGAGGACGAGTCAGTCCAGTCCAGACCCAACGTCTGGAAAGCAAACATACCAGACATCATGCACTCAGCATCGTTAATAGATTAGACAATAGACCCAGAGTCCTCCATTGAAACGGCCTGGGACACATTTCGAAAATCATACTTAAAAGTTACCACACCTCACATCCCTTGGACTATACCAAAGGGGCCGAAAAACTCACCACCATGGTTCAGTAGGGAGGTCCGTATCCTTCTCCGTAAGAAAAGGAAAACGTGGGATAGATTTAGGTTACTGGGGACTGATGAGTCAAAATCTCAGTATCGAAAGGCCCGGAATACTTGTGCCTCGACCCTCCGTAAGTCTAGAAAACTGTACGAAGAAAAGATTGTTAAAGACTCCGTAGAATGTCCTAAACGCTTGTATTCTTATATAAACGAAAGGACAAAGAGAAGAGGAAATATTCCCGCACTATGGGGAGACACTACTGTAGCATCATTAGTGCAGGACAACTTTGGTAGGGCTCAAGTGTAATGTATATACCATAGGAGCACCCTTCCCATCAGCTCATACAAATCCCCCACACATATACTGGATAGCGTGACCATTAAACAACTAGATGTCTTTGGTATGCTAAATAAGCTTGACATGGGTAAATCCGCGGGGCCCGATGAAATGCATCCTATTCTACTGAAGGAATTATCTAACTTCGTTGCGAAACCTTTAAGTATATGCTTTAATCTATCCGTAACGCAGGGTCGTTTACCAAAAGACTGGAAAAACTCAATAGTAATTCCTGTCTTCAAAACAGGTACGAAACATAAACCTGAGAATTACCGACACATCAGCCTAACTAGTGTGGTTGTTAAGATTTTAGAAAAGATTATTCGGAAAGAGCTGTTTAAGTACCTCGATGAAAACCAGATCCTTTCGGAGAAGCATCACGGTTTCAGAATAAGTTTTTCTTGTCTCACTAACTTACTAGTGGCTCGTGAAAGCTGGTGCGCTATTAAGGACCAAAAGCTATCTGTAAACGTAGCCTACATTAACTTCAGCATAGCGTTTGACAAAGATCCGCACAACCGGCTAATATATAAGCTAAGAAATGTCGGAATTGGAGGCAATCTATTGATGTGGATGAAAGACCTCGTAGTTGGGCGCCAACAAAGAGTACGGGTGAACTCAAAGCTATCAAGCTGGAAAACTGTGTTTAGTGGAGTGCCACAGGGTACAGTTTTGAGGCTGGTGTTATTCCTTTTGTATGTAAATGACCTTCCTCGTCTCCTATCATCATCGATCTTGCTATATGCTGACGATTTCAAGATATGGAGAAAGATGTGATGTAAGGGTGATAGCTTGGAACTCCAAAATGAGCCGTAGAAATTTTCTCAATGGTCTCAAACCTGGCAGTTCCCAATGTGTACTCCTAAGTGTATTGTGATGCACAGCGGTCATCAAGGCACAGATACAAACACGATGAATAACACTGAGCTACCTGTCGTCCAGACATATAATGACTTAGGAGTTATCGTTAGACAAGACTTAAAGACTACTGCACACTGCCGTGCAATAGCCGCCATAGGTTTTAGAACGTTATGGTCAATACGTCGGGCTTTTAGTCATATCGACGCTAGAACGTTTTTGACTTTGTAAACAGTGTTCGTACGTCCCAAACTTGAGTACTGCATACAAGCGGCTAGCCCCTGCTTAAAAAAAGACAGTGAGCTTCAGGAAAGTTTCAGAGAACGGCGACTAAGCTGATTCCCGGAATAGCGAAGCTTCCGTATGAATCTCGACTGGCCAAGCTGAACCTTTTCCCGTTGTCTTATCGCAGAACTAGAGGCGACTTGATTACAGTTTTCGAATTGCTTAGTTCCAAGTTTGCACCTGATATGCCCTCATTTTTCTTGTCTTCCAAAACAGAGAATTTACGAGGACACTCCAAAAAAGTTCATAAGCCGAGAACAAATTACTTGTCAGCTGACCATCGACTTTCCCATCGAATCATCAACGAGTGGAATTCACTACCTCAGCACGTGGTTGAGGCTCCATCCGTCGACTCTTTCAAGAGGAAGCTGGATCAACTGAGAGACCACTATTGCCAGGACTAATATAGGCCATCGAGCCTCCTGTCCTTCCCAAACTGAAACTGAATAAGTTGGTTGACTGATTCACAATTCATGGAATTTTAAGTAAACATATTTAGCCGAATGATACGGTAAACACCTAGTTACATATATCTTAAGTGAAAAATGAACTTTAAAAAATCGTGGAATAATAACTGTATATCACAAAGCGGTAATTTTGTCCGCTGAAGGTCGCCTCAATCATACTTTGCTCATCTCATTTGGTTTTAGTACTGTTTTCTAAACCCGCTGCTGAAAAACATATAGTAAGTGTCAATAAACTACCTCTTTTTGAATTGAAACTGTGTACCTATGATCTGTGGCCGTTATCCCGCACTTCAGTCGCTCGATTGTAACATCTGCATAGAAAAAATATTGTATGTTATTTTAATGGCGAGACCATAATTTATGGACAAACCAACCAGATATAGGACAGCGATTCACGAGTTCGGATGTGGAATTCATCCATACATTTGGCTAAATAGAGTTTTGGCATTATAGCTGATGTCAGTTCGTGATGAAAACCCTATATCTAATTTTGGCGAGACTCTAATTTAGCGACGAGCCAATCAGAAGCGTTTGAGCTATTTCAAGATCACAGAGCCAAGTTCAACACGCGTTGCTAACATACGGTCGGTTCACAACGGATTTTAGAGAGGAGGTGATTAATGAGAGGTTAAAACAGATGGGATGGCGAAACTCTAATTTAAGGACGAGCCAATGAAAAGCGTTTGAGCAATTTCAATTATTAGCTAATCAGAAGACAGTATAAAGTGAAAATATATATTACAAGAAAGTAATGAATTACAGTGGATATTCTTCTTTCACATGATATAAAAACTTGTTGAGGTTTGATAAAGGCTCAGAAGTTCTGAATTCATAATGCATATTGTATAGAAAATCGTCCATAGGGTTAGGGTTAGAATAGGGTTTAGGGCTAAGTTTAGGGTTTGGGGTTTGGTTAAGGTCAGGGTTTAGGGTTAAGGTTAGATTAGGGTTTAGGGCTAAGGTTAGGGTTTTGGGTTAGATTAGGGTTTAGGGTTAGGTTAAGGTTAGGGTTTAGGGCTAAGGTTAGGGTTTGGGGTTAGGGTTAGATTAGGGTTTAGGGTTAGGTTAGGATTAGGGTGCTAACATGCGGTCGGTTTACATCGGATTTTAGAGAAGAGGTGTCTATTGACAGGCTACAACCCTAACCACTAACCCTATAGACAAGTTTCTATACATTATGCATTATGAATTCAGAGCCTCTGAACCTTTATCAAACCTTAACAAGTTTTTAAATCATGTAAAAGAAGAATATCCACTGTAATTCATTACTTACTTACAATATATTCTTACTTTGTAATTACTGTCTTCTGATTGGCTAATAATTGTCAAGGTCATTTAAGATTCGTTCAAAGGTCGTCGCTAAATTAGAGTCTCGCCGTAGTGTTTTTCACTCTCATGTTCACTATAGCGTCGCTCAAAGGTCGTCCAGAAATAATAGTGTCACCGTTTTAACTAGTGGCAATCAGACGCTATGAACCTACCACCTGTTGCAACTCAGTGTCTGCGAATTTCGCTGACTACTAACGTTTGTCACTGTTCAAACATAATTTGGAAACTATGTGTAGTATTTCTCATTCTGGCTGAATTTAAGCGTGATATTATAAGTCAAGTCTTAAATCTGATCTGTAATGCTTTAATTTCACGTTTCTCGTCTTTTTCTTCGTTAATCGAGTGGCAAAGAAAATGTATTTTTCATGATCAGTAAAAAGCTATTTATTTTCTAACTGTGATTCATATTGACCCTGTTAGTAATGGTAGAATCAAATCAAAACGATGACTCTTGAATTCTCTTAAAATAATTTTCTGTAAGTGCGTGATGTGTTTAACGTATCACTTTGAGACGAATACTGCTCGTAGTATGTAGCGGACCCGATCGTTGTTGCTACCTTGACGTGGTAGTCGGGCTCATCTATCGTGATGAATTAATCGAGCTATACTGGCTGGAACAATCTTTCCTCATGGTCCAACCATGCCAGACGATTCGGTTGAAAAGCGGTAAGACAAAAAGCAGCAAACCCGACGTCTGAAAGCAAAGTCGTACTGCTGACTGTACAGAGGTGTGACTGCAGTAAGGTGCTTTCTTCAGACAGTCAGAAAAGGTAGACCTAAGAAATGCACACCTCTACTTATCCAAATGATATCCATCTCCGGCGGTAAGTTCTCTACAATTACGTAGTTAACATAAAAGTTACCTTAAAAGGTCGTGGGTGACCGATCTAAAGCAGTTGACCCTTGGGCATTGCGGCCATGCTCTCAGGTCACTAAGACCACCTTTAATCCAATTTCCTTTTCAGGTACCTCCAGAACAACCCTTTCACGGTGTGGGCAACCGGGAAGTGATAACAGCACTCAAGACCACTGTATTCATAATCAACCTCCGTCTTCACTTCCTATTTTTCCTTCTGCATCAACTTTCAACACTAAACTTTTTCTTTTGACTTCCTCCTCAAGTGTCACCATAGCCAACGATTCCAGTGCACAAAACGCTGTTCCAGGTCTACTGACACCTTGCTCTAAACTACACATTGTAACCTTCAAAGTACCCACCCTACATCAAATCGGTCAGCAGGCCTCCTTGACTAAAACCCTAGAATCTCGTAACATAAATGTATGCTGTGTCTTCAAAACACACATACAGGATCCTAGTGTGCTCAGTCACTTAGCCTCACCTCGCTAAAATGGAGGGCCCCCGTTTATCTGGAGACCCGGTGACTTTCTCTCAGACTGTCAGGTGTAGACGTGGCACTGAGTACGAGGGCAGAACAAGCACTATTAAAATGCATCCCCATTAACAGTCGTCTATGCGCTGTTCAGCTAAACGGCTCCGTAAGAACTCGGAAGGATAGGGACACGTCGTTGCCTTTTCATTGCTTCTGCCTACTCTCCAACTGACTGCAGCCCAGATAAAGTAAGAGATGACTTTTACAGAAAGCTTTCTGAAATTTTTCAAAATGCTTAACTCTCATACATAGTACTCGTAGCAGGTGAATTTAATGCCCAGGCAGATAGCTTAAACCAAACAGAAAGACATTTAGGTGAGCATTTTAGTATTCTGGCTTAGTGAACAGATAATGGTGAACATCTGCTGCAACTGTGCTCGGACGATCGTTTATTTCTGACAAACACTGATTCTGAGCATAAGGAGAGACATCGTCTAACATGGCGACCCCCTACACCAAACCAACGATGGTCTCAAATAGACCATATTGCCATCAGTCATGGTTGGAGAGGGTCGATAGTGGATTGTCGCTCATTCTGGAATACCTGCTTCGACTCCGACCATGCTCTAATGCGGGCACGCATCTACTTGCGCCTCTCTGTACGCAAAAATGTCCCACTGAAAAGACTCGTTAGAATCACTTATCGTCCCAATATATAAGAGAGGGTTGAAATCATCCTGAAACAACCATAGAGGGATTAGTTTAACTAATGTAGTATCTAAAATACTAGCCTTGATATTTATCGGACTCCTAACTAAGACTCGTGAACTGCAAACACGAGAATCAAGCTGGCTTCAGACATGGCCGCGGCTGCATCGACCACATATTCACCATTCGTCAGGTTCTAGAACAATAAATTCTGATGACCTGTTGTTGGGATATTCCGAAAAATATCCCAAAAATTATCATGTTAAGTCTAATGCTATCCTTGAACGTGAAATGGTGTCGTTTCCCTACTGGTCAATATTTATTTCACGTGTCATTTTCCTGTTGGTCAAATATTGTACAAATGTTATTTTCTATTTTATGGTAAGATGTAGTCTGCTTGATTGGTATATAAACAGAGTATGTTTGAAATATAGGATTCATATCGCAGAGGCTGAGACTTGTGTTCTGGACTTAACTGGCTGCGCTAGGTGGAAAGCAGGACCAATCAGAACTCTAGGCTGTTCATACGGGTTGACGCGTCATTGTTCCGACCGATAAGTCATTGCTCTCTAATGGGCGGTCACAAGTTATAAAACCTCTCGAATGTAAATATTTTGAAATCTTCACCAATTCTCTGTCTAATTTTTAGTCCATTATGGATAGCTCTTCATGGTTCCTTCGCACATCTCAAATAACGTGAATTACATCCACTACTGAATTAGAGTACGTAAACTTACTGTTAATTAATTTTGATTTCAGCATGAGTAGATACGTCATTCACTTATAAATTTGCCATAATTACTATAATGTCTCAGCTTCATGATATTTGGGACTAGTCAGTGAGGTCTATCTATAATCTTGAGGTCTGAACACTGATAACACTATGTAACATGGATAGTTTGTAGGATAATGTGTTCTTCATTTGGATATAAGAAAAGGTCAAAATCATCCTGTGATAACCATAGTAGGATTAGTTTGACGGCCGAGAGTGGGGAGAGTCCGCTCTCCCTCTCGAAATACTCTCACACGGCCACGCGTATACAGCCTCTGCCAGAGAAGTCCTAGTCATTGCCTTCTCGTGGCGGGGGTGTTGTTTACGAAAATGAGAGGACGAAAAGCGAATGTCCGGCGCTTTAACCGGATTCCAAATCAATGGTGCACATGGGCTCCAGTATCCTGCGGGAACGAATGGCGTATGAACCAATCGTTGGTCACCGGCTACCATGGGACTGCATCTCCTTACGATGCTCCACTGCCTTGTGAGTTAGACCTTTAGGTCAAAGGCTCGGGGAGTGGCCCCCTAAGACAACCACCTGCTTCGGTTTGGGCACCCGGGCAGTATCACAGCCCACACACAAATTGATGAACTCTTTATGCCTATGGAAATTACCTTTCTCGCTTTGAAAAACAAACAATTGATTCAGATTATTATCATTACAATTATTGTCATTATTAATACTAATATTATTATTACTACTATTATTGTCATTGTTATTATTATTACTATAATTATTATTATTATTTTCCACATTATTCACCCTCTTTTATACTCATACAGCGGCTCGTCTTTGGTGGAAATCCGACTGTATCTAAACGTTCTCGAGTCACTGTCCGGTTGAAAATTGTATGTTACCATCGAATACGAGGACTGAAGCAGATTTTCTGAAACCACGTGCGCCATTCAAACTGGCTGCCTTCAACGTTCGCACATTTATGCAGGTCGGACAACAGATAGGGCTGGCTATGTCTTTGGAAAGTCTTAATATCGACGTGTGTTGTCTATCCGAGACCCGTATTCAAGACTCTGGCGAAGTACTACAAATTCGATCTCCATCTGTCGCTTCGAAAAGCTTGTTTTACGTGCGCTTATCCGGGGACCCTGTGGCATCTTCGTCTGGTCTTGCTGGCGTTGGTGTCGCACTAAGCGCTAGAGCTGAGGCAGCACTAGTCGATTGGATTCTCATTAACAGTCGGTTATGTGCTGTTAGATTAAAAAGTTCCATCAAAGTGAGAAGAAATCGGCGTGAGAAACGATGTCTTTTCGTCATCTCCGCCTATGACCCGATAGATTGCAGCCCAAATGCAATCAAGGATAAGTTTTACCACCAGTTATCAGTTCTTCTCCAGAAAGTGCGTTCGACAGATATTGTAGTACTAGCCGGAGACTTGAATGCTCAGGTCGGGCGTCTAGGCACAGAAGAGAGTCGTTTAGGTGGCCGATGGGGACTCGTTGGTCGCAGGTCAGATAACGGGGACCGTCTACTGCAACTGTGCACAGACCACAACCTGTTTCTGGCTAGCCCTAACTTTCGGCACAGTCATCGCCGATGTGCCACCTGGCGTCCTCCCTCTGCATCTCAAGCCTGGACTCAGATTGATCACATCGCGATCAGCTACCGCTGGCGTGGTTGTGTACAAGACTGCCGCTCCTTTTGGAGTACCTATCTGGACTCTGACCATGCCTTGGTCTGCGCCAATCTTGCCTTACTTTTCAGTGGACAACGAAGTGAACGCCATCAACGGATTGATGTTAGCAAGTTGGTTGCAACTTCTGTTGCAAGTAAGTATCGAACCGAGCTAGCCTCTAGGCTAACTACCACTCCACCGAAAAGTATAGATGAGCATTGGTTGCAATTGCATGACGCCATGAAAATGGCGGGAACAGTCAGTTGTGGGTTTGCGAAACGTCCCGCTTTTAAGCACTGGGCTTCTTCTGGTTCCTTACAACTCATTGAAGCCCGTCGGTCTACTCCAGGTGACCGTGAGTTTGACCACAAACGAAGGATGTTACGTAAGGAAATCGGGCAAAGCTTGCATAAGGACCGAGAAGCCTGGTGGTCGAAGTATGCTAATGAGCTGGAAGCAGCAGCTGCATCTGGTAACTACCGGAAGCTCTTCCAGCTCATCCGAGCCACTGGCAGCAAGAAGTCTGGTGTGAGTGAAACAATCTGCGAGGATGATGGGATGCCAATCACTAACATCCATCGACGTCTTGGACGATGGGCAGAATTTTTCGAAGGGCAGTTCAACTGGCCTGCTGCTCCGGCAACATCGGTCAGACTGTCCTGCCCTCCATGGCCGGTGACGACTGATCCACCAAATGAGGAGGAAGTCCGCAAGGAACTCCAACTCTTGAAGAGTTACAAATCACCTGGCTTATATGACTTACCTCCGGCTCTTTTTAAAGATGGTGGTGACTTTTTGACTAAGGAATTGATGACGTTGTTTACAAAGGTTTGGGAACTTGAGAGTGTACCAACGTCATGGAATGATTCGATAGTTGTCCCTATCTTTAAAAAGGGTTCACGTCGTTCCTGTAACAACTATCGAGGGATAAGTCTCCTTCCGATTGCGTCCAAGCTATTGGCTTCCGTCATACTTCGTAGGTTGTTCAAAACCCGAGAAAGATTGACTCGCGAGGAGCAGGCTGGGTTTCGTTCTGGTCGAGGATGTATTGATCATATCTTCACCCTCCGCCAAATGTTAGAACACCGCCATACTTTTCAAAGGCCAACAATCGTAGTGTTTCTTGACATCAGGGCTGCCTTCGATTCGTTGGACAGCACTGTTCTCTGGAATTGTCTATTGGAGAAGGGTGTGCCTGAGAAGTTTATTGACATCCTAAAAGCCCTGTATAAAAACACCTCAGGCAGAGTGAGGGCATACAACCACCTCTCTCCATTGTTCCATTCGAGCAGTGGGGTTATGCAGGGTTGCCCAATCTCACCATTCCTCTTCAACTTTGCCATCGATGATATTCTGGAAACAGCTCTGATGGATGTAAGTAATGGTGGTGTGGATCTGTTGCCTGGAGAAAGACTTCTCGACCTTGAGTATGCGGACGATATTGTCTTACTGTGCGATAATGCCCAAGGCATGCAATCCGCACTTAATCAGTTGGCAATCAGTGTCCGTAGGTATGGTATGTGCTTTGCACCTTCAAAGTGCAAAGTACTTCTACAAGACTGGCAGGATTCCAATCCTGTACTCACCCTGGATGGTGAGCAGATAGACGTAGTCGAGAAGTTCGTGTATCTGGGCAGCTGCATAAGTGCTGGTGGGGGTGTGAGTGATGAGATCAATGCACGTATAGTGAAAGCCAGAGCGGCTTATGCTAATCTGGGCCATCTTTGGCGCCTTCGTGATGTTAGTCTGGCCGTAAAAGATCGGATTTACAACGCATCGATGAGAGCAGCTTTGCCCTATGCTTGTGAAACCTGGCCACTCCGAGTTGAGGACGTTAGACGACTTTCTGTGTTCGATCATCGCTGTCTCCGAAGGATTGCTGACATTCAGTGGCAACACCATGTCAGTAATGCAGAGATTCGTCATCGTGTGTTCGGGCACAGAGATGATAACTCAATTGGTGTTACCATCTTGAAGCACCGACTTCGGTGTCTTGGACATGTTCTCCGAATGTCGTCCCAGAGAATTCCACGTCGTGCATTATTTGCCGACTCTGGGACTGGTTGGAAGAAGCGGAGAGGTGGTCAGTGCATGACATGGTGTCGTGGCATGAAAGAAAGCTGCAAAGGACTGGCTTGTGTTGGTCCTTCACGACTCCCTGGTTGGGGTCTGAGAGATGGTGCTACACAGTGGCTAGAGACGTTATCAGATATGGCTCAGAATAGAAGCCATTGGCGATCCTGCTGTAACCTTCTTTTACTTTCTTCATAAAAAGTGGTTCTGTCTCCCTTACCTGAAAGGTTTCTTCCGATTGTACCTTTGCGTTCCCTGATTACTAGCACATTACCTTACACCAATGTCCTCGTTATTGTTCTCTTTTTTTGCGCTCCTTTGCTTTTTTTTCTTTCTTTGTATTCCTCTCGAATTTTCATTGTTGTGTGGCGCATATATATTGGCGCTCTCTTGTTCCAATATTCATGTGTCCAAATAAATAAATAAATAAATAAATAAACCAAATCTTGACATCAGTGCTTGAAGTCACTAACTTCTAGATTGAACCATGTTGGTGGGTGGAGACTACTTGGTTGGGGTCCGCGTGACTGTCGTAACCAATGGTTGGAGACTCTGTCTGACATGGCTCAGAATCCATCACAATGGTGTAGGTGTATACACTATTTATCTTCTCTTAAACCGTGAGATTAGAATTCCTTCATACCTTTCTTTTTACGAACTAATTCTTTCTTCCTGTAGTATATGATTATACACAATTTTTCTTTTACATATTACTACCATTTAAGTAACTACTATAAATTTGGTGTTCATCTTGTTGTGCTAATGAGGTATGGCAACTTGGACTGATGCACATATGTGCCTGGTCGTACGTTGTAGCTGACTGGCTGACGGAGTATGTTCCAAGGGTTAATCACAAGTTAAGGAAATCCGTTTACCTAGTTTATGGTCAAGGAGGGTATCATTTATGTCAGAAACCATTTTATAGTATTCATTATAACTAAATCTCCTTGGTCCGTGTTAAGCTTACTTACATGGATTTAACTATTCGAGCCGCGTTGTGCGTGGTAAGCATCGTGATTTTAAAACTGCATTGCCTTTTGTCTCATGTTACTTTTCCGAAATGTTCAAATCGTCTTTTATAGGGACTGAGAGCCTGAAAGCGTTTTTTTAAGTTGAACCATTAGGTTGTGTGGCCTGTGAACATGTTTTTTTTCAAATAATTGTTGAGTTAAGAAAGTTTGATTTACCAAACAATCAGTTCGAGTATAGGGCACGACTCCTTAATTTTTAGGTCACATTTCATGCAACCGATTATTATATGTAGACAAGAAAATCTAAGGTGTAGTGTTTAGCAGTGGATCGTTAGGTTTTGTCTTAATTCTACTCTTCCCATCGTCCTACGCATTTTATCTCGCATGTGATCAAGAACGATTACCATATCCTTTATAGACAGTAGAGGTCTTGAAGACTAAAGCACTTGGTAACTCTAGCTTATAGTGAACTACCTTTTCAAACCTGTTGCTGTCCCAAGTGTTTTTCGAGGTTAAAAAATGTTTATAATGCTTTTCCAACGTGCTTTATAAATATTTATGACTGTCCTCTATTTAAAATTGAAGTTTAATGTAATTGTTGTGAATCCAATCATATTGGTATCTTATTTTTGAAATGGTGTTTTGCCTGAGGTGTTTGAGCAGCAGTTTTAACATATCGGGCAGCAATTGTGGTCGGATTTTTTAAGAAAGTGAAGATCACACACTACTAATTGTGTATGTAACTTTTTCAATTGATTGAATGCACTCTACCAATGGCTTTATTGGAGCAGTTTTCTTAGTTACTTTTACTTCCTTTATATGTTTTTGAATTTAGGCCAACTGATTTTCAAAAATCCATCTCGTTTAGTTTAGCTGTTTTAATTCATGGCTTCATTTGCGGTTCATTATTTCGTCATTGGATTGATTTTAGCCATTGTGGGCACATTTTCTATAAGGTGAGGGCTTCTGCTTAGTTAATTAAATTTCTGGCTCTGTTTTAAATTGTGGTTAGTTTACATTTGTATGACTTTTAATAATAAGTAATTCGCTAGATAGCATTTTCACGTTTTAGTATTAAATTTATTATTTAGGTTTTAATTTTTTCTCAGATTTCGGTGACAATACCTATAGGGAAAAAATTCTTTAATTCTCCAAAATAACTTACTGTCTCACACACTGGTTTCCTCTAAGTAGTTGTATACTGAATATTTATTATTTATTTAAACACATAAATGTTGGTACAAGGAGTCAGCAAATAGATATGCGCCACATAGATCATTCGGTTTGTGTGAGGGCTTGAATACTGCCCGGGTGCTCAAACCGAAGCAGGTGGTTTTCCTAGGGGGCCACACCCGGAGCCTTCGACCTAAAGTACTGATCCACAGTGCACCGGATCAAGATGCAGTCCCATGGAAGCCGGTGACCGACAATTGGTCCATACGCCATTTGTTTCCTTAAGATCCTGGAGCTTATGTGCACCACTGGTTTGGAATCAGGGTTTTCTAACTCCCCTGGGTGGATTCACCGTATCCACCAACTCAGTTAAAGCGCCGGACATTCGCTTTTCATCCTCTCAATTTCGTAAAAAAACACCGCCTCGAAAAGTCAGTGAGTAGGACTTCCCTGGTAGTGGCACGTAGCCATGTGAGATCACTTTGATAGAGTGTGATGACTCTTCCCACTCTCGGCCGTACCAAGGCATTTTGAGGCTGTATACTAAATAGCATTATTAATAACCGAAATTCATTCTTTTACACTTCACCGTAAAGTACAGATAATGTTACAACACCAATTTTGCAATAGAGTCAATAATTTATGAAAACATCACATTCTTCCACAAAACAACAGTTTGTCGAAAAGTGAGGATATAATTTAATCTTAACTAAGGGCATTAATTAGCAATCTAAAAGTCAAAGGTGTGCCAACAAACCAGTCGGTATGATTATGAAACCATTCAGTAACTTAGATTATTTCCATTTCTCATAGTTTCCAATCTTTTAATTTTCTGTTCTCTAAAATGGACTCGGGTGATGTATATTATTTCATATAATAGGGTATCAATTACGTATGTCATGTGGACGTTATTGATACTATGTTATCGAAATATTTGAAATGAGACCTCTTATATAATATATATTAGTGTTAAAAATCATTTAACTCTTATCTAATATGACAATCTATTAACACAGTAAACTCCATCGGTTTTGTTGAATATTGTTATTTATTCGAATTTCTTTTTTCTTCTAGCTACCTAATTTCGACATCAGAACAGCATGCGTCTATTATCTTCCCATATATAAGGTGAGCAATTTGTGGGGTATTAGATGTTTACATTTATATCTCATACATAGACTATGCTGCTTCTTACTTCCTATTTTTTGGTGCATTTTTCAGTCCCATGTTTCGCCAATTTCTCTTCAGTTCGTTCCATTTCTGTTGACTTGGCAGATATTTTGGTTTCTTTTGGCCCAGTTGCTTGTCGTTATTAGTCAGTACCTTTGGTAGTTCAAATCACATTTAGTTTTGGTTAACGTCTGGGTAACTAATTATCACATTCTGAAATGTACGCAAAATGAGTTGAATTTTTCACACAATATATTTTGAAGCAGCAAGAAATACAGAGGGAATGGTGATCATATGCACGGTAAAATGTCCAGTTTATCATGGGAAACCTCTTTCTAGGATATGAATAACTTTGTATTCCTTGGGACATCTTTACCTGTTCACTGGTAATAATTTACGTTGGTCTGAACGTGTCATCCATTTCCATTAATCCATATATTTTATACGAATATCTAACTCTTAAAAAGCGATCATTAATTTCTACTGCTCTCCCTTTGTTTAACGGGATTTAGTAATAAAGTTCTACTATCTAATTATGTTTTTAACTTTTATCAACGAATGGTTTGGATATATTTTTCACAATTACCAAACTTAACTTTCTTGAACTATGATATTGTTTGCAGACAGATAGGATTTTGAATGTAAGACATAATGCCATTCTTCAAAGTACTAGTTGGTTTTGCAAATGTGTGAGGAGCTACAAGCCTTAACGTTTAAGTCTTCACAATATTAAAAATCAATGGTCGGCGACTTGATAAATCATGCTAAATGTAATCAATGTAAAAATGAAGGTCCTTTTACTGACCGCTAAATTTATTAAAGCACGGATTGTTATGTCGGAAAAGGACCTAGATTGCTTGCCTAAGTTGTATTACGTCCACTGTGATACGGATGTATTCACGAGAAAAGCAGTTGCATGATCTTTCTTCCTAATCACTCATTAATTCACCGATATTGTCAGTTGGATCGGTGACCCGTCTAAGTACTATTTGAAACATTGACCGAGGAGCAACAACCAAAGTTTTAACGTTTATTGGTCCTTGAGCTCCTAAACATTCGGCTAATAACAAGAGGAGGTTCGAAAACAGACCCGTTCTCTATTGTACTCAATTCAATTACAACTCAAAATCTTTACATTAATGTACCTGAAATGTCTGACCGCACAGAAACACAATTAAAAAATTAGAATAACTTCGTCATAAATGATGCAAAACCAAAGTAATTAAAAAAATAAGTAATGATAAATCTGGAATAATAAGACATGACAAAGATTTATGGATCAAATGGAGGCTTACAAATAAGAGAAGATAAAAATACAACATTGTAATCGTCTACTAATTATGAAGTAAAATTATAAATGATCCTCAATATATTAGTCCTAAAGGTTAAATTTCCACACCATTCGCCTCGTTATATCATTTCTGCGTGACAAATAGGATAATATAGATGAAAACGGAAGATAATTGAACAAACGGCGTAGTCTATTTATAGTTATAATTACTATATGTGCTTTTAGTTCATAGCTATCTGATTTTGAACCATGATATCGTATTCGATTTCTTTACAGTTCTGGTTATTGTTAAAATATAAGGAATTCAAAAAATCCACTACTTTGGCGAAATTGATGCTTTAGCTATCAGAAATTTCTTCATTTTTACTTGTTAGAAGATTACAGAAGGTATTTTTCGATCTAATTCATATATTTTAAAAAGTTTTTCAATAATTATAGGTGTGTAGTCCATATATTTACTATCCAATTGAGTTAACACTGTGTTCTTGAGAAGCTCCAATTATTCAATTTAAAATCTTTGTTCAGTGCTAATTGGATGATTAGTATTTTTTTATACCTGTACTTATTTCTTTCAGCGTTTACACTTTTAAATTTTCTACTGATTATTGATACTATGCTGTCTACCTTTTTTGCTGCTCTTAAACTAACTTACAAAGAGATTTTGTGGTCTCAGCTTTGTTCCAGTGTATGGTCTTAACTGATCACTGTTAAGAATAATCAAACCTCAACGAAAACGTTTTCCAGTAACCCTTAATTTTAAGTGGTTCTTCTGCTGATGAAAACATTATTTCCTAATTGATAAGTTTTCTAACTGAAAGATTGAATCGGTTTCCTAAGTTCTTTTAATAACCCCAGTACAAATCTACACGCCAAATCCGAACACATTGGAAAAGAGCTAAAAGTGGTGATAAGAATTTATTTCACTCCAAAAATAGTTCGAAATGATCTATTTCTTATTAGGTTAACGGTCAGATATATGTAAATTGAATTTGGTTGTATTTAGCAATCATAATCCAATAACTAACTATCCAAGCACATATTTACAATATAACGTGACTAAGAATCTATAATCCTTAAGATGTGATGAATACATGTCGCATATGATTGGAAAGAAAATCAATTTCATATATCATTCTCATTTCAATTGATTAAACTATTACTCGCTATATCATTAATTAAAACTTTATTAAAGGAAATCATTTCGGAATCAACACTCCTCGTTTAACACTGCTTATGAATTATTTACTCGTTTATTTGTAATATTTAGAAATTTATTATTTACAAAGCATTCACTTTATAATAATTTCAAATTAAATATTATTTCACTACATTTTATATGTAATTATTATTAGTAATTAAATTCCTCGTGAAGCAGGTTGCAGTACTCACGAAATAAAATATTGTAAGTAGTCGAAAGAAATTGAGTAATTTCATATGTATTCAGTTTTAAATTAACTCTGAAATTTTCACATATGGTTGCTTTCAAAGTTATCAAAGTATATAGTACAAAGGTCAGTTTTGGGTGTCATGTAACCTGACGTTTATAGATGTAATTAAGTTTTAGACATAGTTATTTAACCTTTAAAAACGTAAATATAACTACGCCACTACAATTGTAGAAGTTTTTGGTGATTAGTGAAAACCTCTTCTTACATAAGTTGTTCTATCGCAGCAATTTTTTATTGTCTATAGGATTGAAAAAACAATTATAACTTATATATGTTTGTTATTTTGCTTGACTACAGATTTCTAAAACAAATACATTATATTGAAGTTAGATTAATATGTTCGCATAATATTCTGATCCACCTATCTATTCACGTTTCATAGCGACTGATCATTTCAATCAAACGAAATTTATGTAACGTCAAAATGTAACCCTGATAACTTCTTTATTATTTACAGACTAGTATTTGATATTTGTTTATAATTATAGATAAATGAGTACTATGTATTACTCTACATTTCATAAATGGTAGCTTTCTAATCTGTAATCCGTTAGTGTGATTCATTTGTTTACCTATATTTCGTGAATCGTTTTCATACTTTCATTTGGATTTTTGTGTTTTTCATGTAAAGCGACTCTCTTAGACTTTTTAAATTAGCCGTTATGTTTTTAAATTTTGTTTTGTAACTCAGTGATACTGGTGCTCTACCGCCTGAAAGCTGCGTATTTGGTCAACTGCTCAATATATGTTCGTTTCTTTGTAAGTTGTTATTATATCTTTCGTTCAAAACGACAGGTTTACTGAAAATGTATATTATTTAATGGTGGCGTTTTCTTTGGTTGTTTTTTCGAAGTTTGAGATTTCACTGCAATTATTGATCAAGATTTTATTTCTTTCGAAGTATTTGGACGAAGTCGATTCCAAAACCTGTCGTTAAGTAATTTACAGATTATAAAGCTTTTTTCCGAAAATTTGTTTTATAATGAACACTAAGGGAAGCTTTAATTAATGTTCTCATCAGGATAAAATAATTTTTGTCTTTTATTTTTTTAGACGTTTGTTAATTATTTGTTTGTTAGTCAATTGAATCACATTGGACTGAATACACTAGCTAAGCTTGTTTGTTCACATTACCTAATCCGATTCGCTGTTTTGTGACATCAAGACATTTTGTGCTTGCACAATGTACTTCATTCAATTTTCTGTCTGAACTTTTTAATTGAACTACTTTACATCAAAATAACTCTATCATAGAAATGTAGTGTGTTGTTGAAAAGTAACTACCTTTCACAAAATCCGAAAAAAATTGTTATGTTCGAACAAAGAATGAATGACTGGTTACTTCTAGGAATTTATTTATAGACTATTATTATATAAATATCCATATTTATATTTTTTCACAAGCTTTCATTTGACCTATTGGCTATTGTTATACGATTTACTATTCTTAAGTTATTACTAATTTGTTGATTACAGCCTCTCACACACAGTCACTTCTGGCTTAATCTTGTGTTATAGTTATTGAATATCTTCTGCGGATAGTGGTGTTGCTCTCTTGGAGCTTCATTTTTATAAATTTCGAGTCTCGAATTTAATTCCGAAAAATCACACTTCTAGTAGGTCAGTACCATATAAATATTATGGGTTTACCTGGACAACTCTCATTTTAATATGCATTAGTGGCAAATGTCGTTTATCGTTTTGCTTAATCTCTCAATTGCTGGTAATGAGAATAGTAGGTGAATAGAAATATATCAGTTCTGAGTTGAAAACTACTGTGAATCATGTATTCATTTCAACAGTTGAGATCATGAGTCAACCAACTAGTCGGCTAAGCGCCTGGCGCGAGACTGATAGGTCTTGGGTTTGAATCCCACGAGGCGGGGTCGTGGATGCGCACTGCCGAGGAGTCTCACAATAGGACGAAACGGCCGTCCAGTGCTTCCAGGTTTTCCATGGTGGTCCAGCTTCAATTGACTCATGATCTCAACTGTTGAAATTACTACAATCTCCACAAAACCCCTTCTGATACTAATCATGTAGTTGTCCAGCGCGTGAAAGTAACTCCTGCATCATAAACTAATAAGTCTCACGAAGGTCATAAAACAATGTGATTTTTCTAAACTCAGTTCTTTTTTCTATGAATCCGTAAGCGTTTTTTTTACTTTTTGTTATAAAGTCGTTGGTTTGAGCTTGTAGATTTCCTGTTGCTTTATCACTGACTGAAATTCAAATTTGTTTCACTATCTGGTTCATCATTCATACTAATGTAATTAATTGCCTATCGTGAATTCATTTATATTCACTAAGCTTCTCTGATAGTTGTTTACTGCATCGTAGGTACTAATCATTCACAAATACTACTTCAAAATTAGCTGAATTTTAACTCGTAATGGTTCTTCAGTAAAACTATTGGTAATAATTAATTACTTGAATAAATTCATGATGTGGAGTATGTCTCATTTAACTGTCACCAGTATGTTATTTAATCTGATTTTCTAAATGAATCAACATAATACTGATTGCATATCACAGTTGCTTCTTGTCTTCATATCATTTATCTTTCGGTGAAAGATATCTTGCATAGGATTACACAGCTTATTCTGCTTAGCATACGTTCTAAAATCTTTTTAATTCTCGAGATTACATTTCTTTTGTTTGTCGGTTTTCAAATATTGTGCTATTTACTTAAAGTAATAAAGTACTATCACTTTATATTTCCTAATTTTCTTAAACTTCATTGAGTTTTCCTTCCCAAATTATGCTACCTAACACCTTTTAATCACTTTTGCCTGTTTTTTAGTGTAGTTCCAAACTTCATTTATGTAACTTGGCATTTTTCTTGTAGTCACTGTAATATATCTGTTTCTCTTATTACTTATTTTTGAAACAATGAACCCCCACAATTCTCACGATGAGGAGTAAGAACACCAAGACTCATAAAAGTGAAGATTTATTAACCTCGAAGCACGACGAAAAATTTAGTCGAAAATACACTTGTTTATGTATTGATTTGTACATACATTTGATAATTAATAAGGAAGAAGTTACGTATATGAAATGATAGCAAAATTACACTCTGTATGTCATGCTGGACATAGTTCATATTAATTTAATGCAAAGAATATCATAAAATTCACGTGGTTTTGTTTGTTTGAATCTTCTAATTGATGTTTAGGACTGCAATTGTTCAGTCTCTTATTGGCATATATGCATCCCGTGTGGATTGCCTTGATTATTGCCTTTATTCACAAGCATTATAAGCAAAGATGTATGGCGGCTGTTATAGATAGTTAAATCCTCAAAAACAGTTCATAAGGCTTTTTGAAATTTTAAGTGACAATATAATCCCAAATACTCCAAGTTTTATATCGTGTATTTTACTTATGCTAAGAGCTTTCTTTTTAGTGGCTTCTTCTCATGGACTGTTTTACCAACATATTTCAAAGGATGTGGAAAATTACATGGTATAGCTGTTCAGTTAATTAATGTTCTTAGGTGGATCCAACAGGTATTACAATCACGAGTCAATCTTTTACCTGTAGATTCGTCTTAGATTAGGTGAAGGATCCTTCACCTTCTATTGTCTATCAATATAGTTCTCCTCAGCCGTCATGTTTATTGTGGATAGCTGTCTAGCGATTGCAAGTAGATTTAACTTCGAAATAATACTCAAGAAAACTTACTGGTTTGTCGTGTAAGTGTACAGTTGTTAAAGTGAGCCTTTTCAGTCCTAATAAACAGAGTCCACATAAAATGATTACTATTCTTCCACATTACTTTATTTGTACTTTATTGTCATTTAGGCTGCTTGTATTTGTTTATTTTCTTTACCACAGCTTTCGTATGTATTTATTGTTGGTATCTACATGAGCGCAATGTAATATACGCCCTTGAAGGACCTAACTCTCATATTGTTTTTGCACGTATTACTTGCATCGTTGGCTGTCTAAGCGCACTGGGGATGTCAATTGTGGCTAATTTCCAGGTATTTAATTTTTGTTGGTGTTTTTGTTCAGTATATCAGATTGTGGAATGCATAAAGGCTACAAAAGTTAGATGTGACTGTTTTAAATAGCCTGAACAAAGCATGGTGGGACCGTGGGAAATAGGATTTTATCAAATTATGTTTCTTCAATCAAAATGGATACCGTCATTGCAAAGCATTGGGTCGTAAAGACGGATATTCACTGACGCACCAGTTTTATGTTTGAGTTTACTTGATATCCATCGAATAAAAGAATCGGGAAAGGGGAAGTACATCGCTCCTAATAACCAACCACTAACCTGCACGCCCACAGGTAAACTTAGAGGCTCTTGTAACCCATATATCACAAAAAGTTGTATTTTACTGAGAAAAATTTCGGCGAAACTGCCTAAACAGAAGTTTGTAAGCGTTTCTGGAGTTAACCTGGCATTGTTAGGTAAACGCATCATTGCCGAAGTTACCACTTCATGCAACAACATACGTGTTGCAAGTACTGCGGTCAGGAGTTTTCTAGAAATTCTTTCGTCAACACTCCAATTAAAGTTCCAAGCGAACTGAACGTGCTAGTTCAATAAAAAGACGAAGAGTGAGTAGGAAACCGTATTGGTTAAGCTAACCAATATTTATATTGATATTTATCCCTCAGAAAGTTAAACCAGATTTTCAACTATTAGCACATATTTACATCTTTCGGACAATTAGACTTGATCCTGACCAATAGTGTACACTCACTAGCATCTTTCATTGGTCACTTGGCCTTTGTCTGATGTATCTGCTTGGCCCAGCGTATCGATTTCTTTCATCTTAAAAATAGGAAATTCGTTCACCAAATCTTATTTCAACCTCCAATGATGAACTATTGATATCAAGAAATATCTCTTGGACCCCAATCAGATGATTATGATGGACCGGCCGATGCCTCTCCTGTACAGCTTTTTTATATAACGTCATTATATATATATATATATATATATATATATATATATATATATATATATATATATATATATATATATATATATATATATATATATATATATATCAAGTTATAAAGTGACCGCCTCTCCTATTTTTAGAACCAGCTCCAGAGACCGAAAATGATGCTCCATGTTGAAGCCTAACATATCACCACAACAAACAGGTATATGCACAGATATCTCCCAGTCCTCCAGAAGTGCTTCGAATTCGGCCTCGAAGTACATAACATACATACGGATATCGATTACCTTTTGATGATGTTCAATCTGTAGAGGTGTATCATCGCATAGTAAGGCATCATCATCTGTCTACTCGAAGTCAGAAGTTTTATCTCTAAGTTTGGATCCATGATACCACCACTTTCTCTGTTTAGTAGTACTGCCAAAATGTCATGAGTAGGAACGCTGCAGAGGAGTGGTTGAATTTGACAACTCTCCCCACCCTATTGCTTGAGTGGAACGATAGTGAGAGGTGGTTGTATACCCTCACATTGCCTAAGTTGTTTGTATGAAGAGCCTTCGAAATGTGGATAAACTTCCCTTGCACACCATTCCTCCACAGATAACATTATTTTTCAGTCCTGTCCAACGAATTGAATGTTTTCAAAGTGATTTCATACTTTGCAAAATCTGTATGGGCAAGAATTTACGGTTATCGTTGAACTCATGACATGCCTGAGTAGGCTAGCTTGCTTCCATAAGTTTTAATGAACTTTCAAAACGTCAGTGCTCATAAACGAAAAGTTCATTGTTGAAGTTTTTAAGCTGTTAAAAAATAATGATGAGAGGTTCTATGTATCTTCATTTATTAAATATCAAGATCCTTTTACTTTTTATCTCATTTTAAGTTATTACTATTGTCCTCTTCCTGTCCTGATATTAGTTATCGTTGATTCAACGGTAGACGCATATTAATTCTGTCTAAAAATAATAATACTATCGAAAATTCCGACTATAGAGATATACTATTCAAATTGTCTGTAAATGAGAAATATTGCAATCAACTAATTTGCTGTATTCAAGTTGGTCGCAGTAGCTATGACTTGATTGTTTTACAATACTATTATTAAAAGCATCATTATTGATACAAGTTATACGTGTCAATATATGTGTTTCAAGTTATTAAATGTATATTTTACCTGAATTTATTGGTTTTCATTGACCGTTAACTGCACATACATATATCCTATAAATGAAGTGATTTTGTGCCTGACACTGGATCTCTTTATTTTTAGTATTGTTATATAATGTAATGTTTTTTAAAAATTCAGAAGTAGATTGCATGTTTCAGTTTCATCATGTGTAGATTTTGATGGATTGTTGACATTTTGAACTCAACTAATATACAATGAATTAATTTTAAATGTATTTAGAAGATCATTCATGATTGTAAAATTTGTGTCGTTATTATTCGTCTTAATCTAGATAATATGTCACTCCAAGAGTTGTCTAAAATAATTAATAACTCTAGAGTATCGAATATCATTTATGTCAGTGAATTTTGGTTTGGATGTAACTTCAACCGAAATCTCTGAATAAGATATCTGAAGAAATGGAAGTATTTAAAATAAGCTCGTTAACTAGTTAGCTTAATCCAATCCAGGAAATTCCTTCCCAACCAATGATTATTGAGGAATTTCAAGTAATTAATGAATGGACGACGATTTACTAAGGGTACTCTCAACATTTCCGTGGTACCACGTTCTCTCCAACACTTAATCATGCCATTACATAGTATTCTGTCCTTTAAATCCCCTTAATTTAGACGATCATATGATATTACCAACTTCGTGTGAAATAATCGCTTTTGCGTCAGAATCTTAAATAAATTAGTGACCGATTGCCAGATTCAATGGTTTATATGGTAAACAACTGCCACCCTAGTTGGCATGATTTGGATATTACTTTAAATGCTTCATCTACTTATAAGTAGTTTAGTGTAGGTTAGACGATTTTTTTCTCTCCATATAATATGTAGTTAATTATCTTTTCGTTTTGTTTTAGGAAGCATCTTTAATAGTTGTTCATTTAATCGGAGCAGTGATGACTTTCGGACTGGGCATCGTATTTTCAGCGTTAGTCACCTATTCTACACGTAGACATTTGGAATACAATTTCAGGATATATGTATTCCGTCTGTTTTTAACTATTTGTGGTTTTCTCGCGAATCTGGGAGGTGCGTATGATTTTAAAGTTTTACTATTAGATCGATCTTTATTTTCATTTATACTGTTTCATTGCCTCAGCTATGTTGCACACAATGAATGGGGGCACATGCGTATACACACGTCCAACATAAACATTGATAGGTTTTACTTATAACTTTGATTTACACTTATTTTTTCATTTAGCTTAAAATTATTTTAAAAAATTCTGTTGACTATCGATATTTGTTATTGATTTCTCCAGTTTCCCTCAGACGATAAATTCAGTAAAGTTTTTTATCATCTGATGAGTACACATGTAACTTGTTTCAAAAATCCACTCGGAATCAACTCAATTTTCTTCTTGCATTTCCGAGTATAAATCATTATCAGTTTGCTTGTATAAATATTTGTGACACAGTCTGACAAAATGAAAGTGTATAATTCTTAGGACAAGAGTTCTCAGTATTTGACAGTTCTGATAGAGTCACTTATTTTATTTATCGTACAGTATCAAAGAAGTGTTACTGTTTGCATTGTATAGATTATTCATTACAACTGTTAACTCAAAAAAAAAAGAAATTCCTAGGATCGACTTTCAGTCACCTTGTCTTTTTTTGCAACGAGCCATATTAATTTATGTTATTGTTTTTTTCATTAATTCTAGTGTTCATTTTTGGGCACTTATCTGGGGGAATCCACGGTCCATTCCCTAGAAAATGGGATCCATCTGAAGTGGTAGGTTTATTTCGTTGCTAAAACACTTTAAATCCATCATATATAATATATATATATATATATATATATATATATATATATATATATATATATATATATATATATATATATATATATATATTATTTTATTTACCTTATTATTATTGGTATTATTTTGGGAGTTTTTTTCTGTATGAATAATAATATTAAGCTGCTGTTATTAAGTTATTGTCGTATAATTGTTGATCAACTTATCAGTTCTTAACTAATTTGTTTTATTTCACTCAACAATAATGTTTATTTGTTGGGATCTCTTTCATTGTAACACTATTGAATCAAATCATTCTTGCCTACTTTACGTGTATTTAGATCTCCCTCTTTATTTTCCTACTACGTGTATATTGATTTATGACTGCAAATAGTTTCTTCAGTTATTATGAATGGTTTCATAATGTTATTGTTTATTCAGTTGATCAGATGTAATAATTTTTTACACTTATTGTTCACGAAATTACACATTATTCTGTTTATTATCCAATTATTTCCTTTTCTTACAGGTATATTATAGATGTAATTAGTATCAAGTTTTATTTGACTTATTTTTTCATAACTTCTGATCATCTCATGAAAAAATAGCACTTAAGTAATTGATTGTGATCAATGGTAAATAAAAAAAACTAACCTTTCGCTGTACAAGTTAGAAAAACGTATAATCGGAGACATCGTGATGACTGGCCATATGCATTGAAAAGAATAAATATTATTTAGATGTCGACTTCTGAAATGCTAGTATCTAACTGGGGATCATTCAATATTTATTGTCAATATCGATCAAGAAATAAAAAACAGAAACTCACTTAAATACTTCGCGTTGAAAATTCTATATAGTACCAAAAATATAATAGAATAAAATTAATAATGGATAAATTACAAGATTGCCTATAAGTGGCATTTAGCGGAACTTCGCTTGGGAGTTGGTACACTTAACAGCTGAAGAGATTTAGGGAGTCAATAAGCATGGCTTACGCACTGTACTTTGCAGATCATAGAAGCTAAAGAAGACAGTCTATGATCAACTTGGATCGCAGAATACACAACAAGATGCAAATGCATAACTGAAGACTAAGTATACATATTGCATAAACATTCTTTAATTTAAGAAATATGGATCCTATCCTGCTATCCTTTTCTGAACAACCGTGTTATGATATAAACAGGACTATATTAATACATTTCTCTACGTTATATAGCTTTTGCAGTAATTTTAATGTTTCACTTTTTAGAACAATATTGTTTCCGTTTAGATCCTCATCAAGCTTTACTCTTATATACAGTAATATTTATATGCATATACGAAATTATTAAACCAATCAAGGTAGTTTACGAGTCAATGATAACAATGAGAAAGATTACATAATAGGTGAAAAGTCAGTATCTGGGATAGTTCAATAACGTAGAAATGTACTTATATCTCATCAATTTTATATTTTATTTTATTTTATGTAGGGTTTCAAATATCATGCATTGAGTAGCTTTTGCGAATGGTTAATGTCCTTCACATTCTTACTGTTTTTCGCTTCTATGATATTTGAACTGAGGAACTATGAGTTGGAGTCGGTTAAAGTAAGCTTTTACTATTGTCATTATTATCTATAATCGTAACATTTACTTTATGGGGCAATGTCTTATAAGAACAAATATGCAGAACTATCATCGCGACACCCACTATCAAATTTTGCAAGGTTGGTATTACGACTAACGTATTCTGATATAATGCTCAATTACATTTTCAATAAATTTAAATGATACAGGTGTAATTTCGCAATGATTAGAAAATTGTATTTCTGACGTTTCGTGAATTAATCCTAGTCACTTCTTCAAAGTCGACAAATAAAATTCATTTTGTTCTAAAACAGTGTAGTGGTCATTTGATAAACTGAAAGTCCACCATGGTTGTTCAGTATACCTAGAAAACCTAGGTATTCTTAACAATACTGAGACTTATAAGTAATAAAAATTTAAATTTCTGGAGAAATAAAAACTGAACCTGTTCATCATATCCTAGGAATGGCCACTATTATTATCATCATTATTGAGTTTTCAGTCCATTTGCTTTCTTTTAAGCAACCCCAACTAATTGAATAAAAAAAATAAGTCGTTTATCTTACTTAAGATTTAGTGGCCCCTATATCTGACTCCGATTGGATCGTATGGATGGTTGTTATCGAAATATACATGCCGCCAATTCTCGTTTATTATTATCGAATTAATTCGCGTTAGTGAATAACGGGATTAAAATAAGTAAAACACGAGAATAGATTTCGAATACGTATATTGCATACAATCGTTGGTCCATACAGACGATCAGAGAAACGAAATGACGCGCAGCGGATAAGGCGAGTGAACCAACTCGTAAAGCGATATTTATAGTCAACACTCATGCGATCATAAAAGTCAGGATAAACAAGCGAATTACTGACAGGGAGGAGAAACAGACTGACCTGTCCAGAGGCCAAAATAACCTATGTGGGTTTAACATGCTACAAAGATTCTACAGCATTTAACACCCATTGTTTATAATACTTTTGATTTACAATGCCTAGACCAGTGTGCTGGTTATACAATTACTATCATTATAGTTAGATGTAAACATAGACCCAGTATTATTAATTTACACTTTTTTGCCAGTAATTTGTTTATACTTCATTATTACGATCATTCTATCCAATGCTTACACTACATCAGTTAACTGGCAAAATATGTTTGGATTATGATTTTAAGTTATTGATTTTGATACAAACTTATTAATATTGTGGATGATGATTCCTAACTGTCTAATTAATTTCCTTTTTTTATATTAGATAAGGCGTATAGTTATTGCGCATGAAAACAATGAACAAACACCTCTCCTCGCTTAAGCCATCACTTGCTGTTCTTATGTAACTATAACTCAGTGAATAAGAATAAAGTGCTTTAATCCATTTCATTAGGATTACAATTTTTATTTAACTTGATACACGATTTAATCTATTTCTTAATGTTGATTTTGTAATTTTTTCTACTTTCATCGAAAGAACGAATTTAATTCGGAAAAATATTAAGCCTTCTGTATTTTGTTGGGCAAAAAAGAAAATAAAACAACCACCGACATGTCAGAATCTAATTGCACTTTGAAAATTCCTCTTCCGATTTAGCGATAACTTAACTTCTAGGTCAATTACATGTTTTAGTAATCAGTCTTGAAGCTCACAGTTTGTATAGATCAGTAATACTACCCAGCAATCCGAACCGAAATTTTTGACCTTTCTGTGAACCAAATGGCTAAAAGATTTGTTGTGACATTTACTTATTAAATCACACTCGTGATTTGATTTTCAAGTTTGGTGAATTCATCTCCCATACATCAATAAACCTACAATACAGTATAAATAAAAATAATACAATACAGTGTTGATCCACCGTGTTTTCTACATTATGAGTAATGAGAAATCCAAACACAAAACGTTTGGATTAAAGCCGTGTATTTGAACATGTACATAATTACTACATCATGATTGACATGTGTAACAGTGATATCAGGTATAACATTGAAATACACTATCCTACATGAGTATTTATTTGGTAATTATTAGACGTTAACTTTGTAATAGCAGTAGACCGAAATACATGAAGAATTTTTAATATCTTCAAATTCACAAATAATAGCATCATTTCACTTTTAAATGTATTCACAAGTATACAGTGTCATCTATTCTTGGAACCATCTTTCTCTATTTTAACTTTTTTACATCATAATATCACTACAAAACAACAACAAACTTGATAAAATTAATTTTTCTTTTACTTCCATCATGGAATTATAATGAGATAGTTACAGTTTATATGATGATTTCATGAACAAACAATAACCAAATCTGGAATAAATTATTTCAGTTAAAATGACAAGTATACACGATTTCTTTTAGTTAAAAAAAGGATTAGTTAACTATGCAAATATAATTTCATAAAAAGTTGGTTATAAATGATCTTTTAATTCAATAAAGAAATCTTAAATATGAAAAAGAACAGTGGATAGATAAGAGATGTGATTCGAAATTCATCTCCTATTTAAAAGTAGCTTGAATCTAGAAAAAAAAATTCTAGGAAAGCATATTGTCATCATTATTATTACCATAATTGTCATCACTTATTATACTCCATCGATGAACAATCTATAAAGATGAATAAAAAACAAATTTCAATACAACTGACACGTAAATTATATACCACACAAGCACTATTATAATAGCTAACTGATACAATCTAGTTAATTATAATTTATCCAACTTTATAATAGAATAACGGTTTCATAATCGAATTCAAATAATCTAATCAAAGTTTCATTTCGACGGTCTTCTTTTCTTTTGTTTTTGAAAAAAGCTTTCATATGGTTTTTTAATACATTAAGTCGTTTTTTTTTCTCTGTCACTTGTAGTTATTTCAAACAACAAGACACTGGTTGGTTAAAACTTTTTTGAGAAAGTCAACTGAGTTCCAAGATGAAAAAAGTCCGCTTGTGTTAAAATGGATGTCTAATATATTTTGTATCAACTCAATTAGGAAATTATCTTAAATGATTGTACTTTAAACTATAAATCCTTATGCAATAAGCTTGTAATCGACACTTCGTGGAAGCGGAGACTTTAACTAATCTTTTTCTTTAAAATACTGAATTAATTTTTTACACATTCACTACTACAATTCAATATGCTGAAACACTAATAGATTGCGTAGCTGTTTATCATTCAATTTTTGGGAGTCGTATAATTTGCCGCAATCTGTCCATGAAATAAAATCAGTATCAATTGTTTCCTGTATCTATGGTCTGAATTTTCTTATACCTTTAAGTATATCCCATTCTACTAGTGAACTTATAGGAACATTAAGAGTTTGATCGCTATCGACACGAATCCACTCGTTAAACCTCCCTAACTGAAAATATTTTACACCTACAGCGTCCCTGGTACTTACTTACGCCTGTTACTCCTAATGGAGCATAGGCCGCCGACCAGCATCCTCCAACCCACTCTGTTCTGGGCCTTTTCTTATTCCATCTAATTCTTGTTCATTTTTCTCATGTCTATTTTCATTTCCCGGCGTAATTTGTTCTTTGGTCTTCCTCCCCCCCCTTGACCTTGGGGATTCCATGTGAGGGCTTGTTTTGTGACGCAGTTGGGTGCTTTCCTCACTGTGTATCCTATCCACTTCCAGCGCTTCCTCCGCTTGGATCTGGTTTGTTCTTTCCCACAGTTGGTTGTTGCTAATAGTGTCCGGCCAACGGATCCGAAGTATTTTGTGTAGACAATTGTTAATAAACACCAGTATCTTCTGGATGATGGCTTTCGTAGTTCTCCAAGTTTCATCTCCATACAGTAGAACTGTCTTGACATTTGTATTGAAAATCCTGACCTTGATGTTGGTTGAAAGTTGATTTGAGTTCTTCAGTTGTAAATATGCTGCTCTTGCTTTACCGATCCGCGCTTTCACATCTGAATCAGACCCACCACGTTCATCAATGATGCTGTTCAAATATGTAAGTTTTTACATCTTCTCCATCAATTGTGACTGGATTGGTGTTTGCTGTGTTGTATCGGAGAATTTTACAGCGTCCCCGGTATACTAAAATAATTTAAATTATATCTAGCTCGAACAGTGGATCACTAAGCAAAATGGCACATGCATATCGATAGATCTGCAATGGAAATCATTGCTGTTGCTTCTTGCTTTGTTTATTTTATTATCTCTTCTTATAAGATTATTATAATCATTCCGTTGTGGCACTGAAAATGACCTTGAACAGACTTCACGCATTAACAGGATATACACTTACAAAGAAATAATGGTAGGAAACTGATACCTTGTGGAAAATGTACTACCTAAACAATTTTTAGCCATAACAATTCAAACAATAGAAGATCATATATAGCTCCTTTATGTTCAGCATTGCTGCCCATATCAAACTGATCATGTCTATTAACTGGCAAAAATTCCTGTAATCTTCATAAAATTTATTCATTTTTATCTAGACTTTTTGGAGATGTCAGATTGTGCGAGATATGTAGTTTGATTGCGAGACTTTCATAGTTTTTTTTTAAAAAGCATCATTTATACGATATTTTGAAAAGAAGCGGACCTCAGGTCTAGACTCACGTGTTATTTAAGTGGAATTTATCCCACCTTCAGTGAAATTTGATGAGGTTCCATAAATCTAATTGACGCTATGGAATAAATTCCTACTAATTGTAATGTATAGTGTTTGCATATGTAAAATATGTGATTGGTACAAACCTTACTCGCAATAAAATCATACAAAACTCTACAGCTGTAGTTTTATGGGTATAAATGTATCATGTACGGGACATTGTATTTTGTCAGTGTATTCGTCTAGCATAGTTGAGTTGGTCACATATTTCGATCCCATAAAAATATTTCTGTGTTTGAGAGCAGTTTAAGACAAAGTGAAACAGAAATATAATTGACAAAAATTATTCACGTGGTTTGCTCCATATAATTCAAATGACTGTGAACATATATACGTTTAAGTAAAACAGCTCTATATTATTTCTTTACGTACAGATACTAATTCTAAAGATTTTAAGAGGATTTAGCTTTTTGATTATTGTTTCAGTAAATAAACCCATTAATAATGTTATTAGGGACAATAAATGACGTACCTTTATTTCACGTACTTTGTAATCTTTCAATTCCCATACCAGTGTAAAAATAAAGCATATAAATGATAAAGCTGTAATCCATTCCGACATACTACTTACTACATGAAATGAATAACCCTATTAGGAATTTAAAAAAAAAAACAAATTGAATAGATTGATACCAAAGTTCATTGAAATGCTATTTTACCAAAAATAACCTTATTAATCAATTATAACATAGTAAAACAACATATCTTATAAACAATTATCAAATATTCATAATTTATAGCTAAATTATTATTATTTTGTACTTATAATTAAATCTCATTATCAATAATATTAATGAAAAACCTGACATTAAGTTGTTACACTAGATAAACGTGACTAATTACTATGAAGTTTCTAGACATTGTGAAGCTACAAATCATCATTAAACTCAATACATACTTCTCAGTTCCGAATGTTGAACACAATCACATTAAGTTATCGAATCAGAATCTAATGGTTAATACTTATAACTTTAGTAAGTGTGTAGGAAAGCGTGATCTTCATCGGCTCTTATGACTTCCAGCTTAGTAGACTTGACAGAAACGAAATAACTGTTCAAATAATCTTGAGTTTCAAATGATTTACCAACTAAATACTACGTGAGGATTATACGAAAGTTTTAAAAACCACTAATTTTTTTGTTATCCCTTGATATAAATATAGAAAACCAGTGAAGCTAATGGTGGTTGGCTTTCTATGATAAAGCAGGGAAGCGACACATTCATCCTAATGATGTATTACGAAAATGATTCAGTTCCAAATTACTGACAAACTATTGTATAATTTCTGATTAGCAATCAGAATGAAAAAAGTCTGGTTAATAATATGCAATATAATAAACATGAAGCAAAGCCCTGTATGTATATTTTACTCGTTGTAAGAGAGTGATAACAAGCCCGGCTGATTCGAACCAAAAAGGATAAGTAATAGTGAGTCTCTCAAGAATAATTGGCATAGAAAAAATTCAGTGTAATCTACGAATAAGGATACATTAAAATGAAACTTTCTATTATTAAAGATGAAGCCGAATACGTACACTAGGTTTGTGAATATATTATTCCATCTAATAAAACGTAGTTACAGAAACTTAGAAGTTTACATTAATTTTAGTGAGTGAATAATGAATGTAGACCCTAGTGCAAATGATGAATCCATGCGATAATGACTTTGAAGAAAACCTATAGATATCTCAGTGTCAAAACAAATGTACTCAAGCTCCATAGAATGCTTTATGATTAATTTATACTAACCAGAGCATGTGATAAGAAAAATTAAACGGTTTCTCTTTGTATTTAATTGAATACTTTAAGTGTGAGATCTAACGACACAGATCGAGAATTATACAACCAACTTCATTTGGCCAAAGATACAAATGAACACTTTTTCTACTATAGTATAACAGAATAACTATGTTTATTAAAAACACGAAAAGAATGATAATATTCAATCTATGATTTTCTATGGATATTTGAATTAACAAGATTGATAAGTGACACGAAATATATATTTTTCGAGCATTGATAAACATGTAGATTAAAAGTTTCAACAAGGTCAAACCAGGACAAACTAATAAGTCAAGTTATTCATATGTACTTGTAACATACTGTAGAAACTATTGATAATTATTATTGAAGTATGAAAGCATATATCATTTACGAAAAACATATAGGCAAATAATAATAATGCTAGTCGGCGGCCTATGCTCCATTGGGAGTAACAGGCGTAAGTAAGTAATATTGCTTTGAGTTAGATCCTTACCAGTCTTAAATCTAACATACAATAATATTTAAATGCATATATGAAACTATTAAATCAATTACGGCAGATAATTAAAAAAAAACCATGGTGTCATTGAATAAGAAAAAGAGAATTCAGCGAGTAAAATTTTATTTTCGATGAAATCATTAACTTAAGCTATACATTCGGCAGTTTATGAGTCAGTAATAACATTGGAATAGATTACATGAATAAATAATAAGTAAAAATAAATTTATATTGGTTATCTAAATCTTCTCATTGATGTTTAGCACTGCAATTAGCATATGCAATCTGCACGGATTGACGCAATATTGCCACTAAATCATGAGCATTATAAGCAGAATTGAATGATGGCAGCAAGCCGACTTGAGAAATGAGACACGGAAATAACATTTATTAAAAAGTATTAGAATCGCGTAATAAATATTCAAATAAAGTCAGTGAAGCCAATATTTAAAAAAGGGGGATGAAGAAAAGTAAACAAACCGAGTATAGGGAATGATAATAAGTGAAATCGTTTGCCAAGTTTCATTTGGCCAAAGAAGAGATATAAATGTTACAATTTTTTTGCGAATACAAACACTTGAGTTATTAGGTCGAATCTGTATAATTTCTGCTGTATGAAAAAGATGACATCAAATTTTATGAGAAAAGGTAGTAGGCATACGATGAATTACTCAAACGGACTTATTTCTATTTACTACATGACCGATATCAATCAAGCATCAAAGTTTGCCCCACACCCTTTACAACCACGAAGGGAGGTGTCCACTAACTTGTCAGCTTAAATGTAAAGACCTCCCTTGAGAAAGTTTAACGACAACAATAGCAAATTTATATTTAAACACTAACCAAAAGTGATTCAAACATTATGGAACATACCATTGTTTTAGAAAATAAACCCATTCGATCAATGACAGTAGTGATATCGATTTTATTGAAAAATATAAAAAAAACAACTCAAGTAAAAATGATTATTGACTCTTTGAAGATGGCTTTTGAAAATGTCCAACAAAACTGAATTACGACGGTGAATGAATCAATATCTTGTGCTGACAATAAACAGACTACCAAGACACTCCTATTTTTAAATGTATTTTCAATTGAACCATACAACTTGAAGCACGTTTTTCTTGTTCACTTATTTATATGTTGTACGATCTTTTACATTCCTTTTACTTCAAATTTTCATCTTTTTATTTGTGTGAGGAACTTAATGTAGTCCCATAAATTTTATTATGAAAACGAAAAATACACACGTGAACACAATCAACAAATGACCAGCCAAATAAGTGATAATACACACTATTACGACATAACACATATCGTAAGCCATAATTTCCTATATGAGGTCACTACAAGTCATTTGAAATTTCAGAGCACTGAACAGTTTTATTTTTCAGCATAACTTGCAATCGTCACACAATAAAAAAGTTACCTATTTTTTTTAAAAGCATTTTTCATTCGGATAATTTTTATTGTTCTGCATAATGGACTAGGATTGGCCCATGTAATTCAGTTTGAGCAAATTCTTAATATACAGAATACCAATTAGTAGTTAAAAAGGTACCACAAAATTTTAGAAATTCCGATACATACCTAATGTTGAGTAGATTTAAAACAAAGGTTACAACTATTTCCACAAGTAACTGTCCACTACATAGTACACAAAAATATGAAAACTATTAGCAAAAGATGAAAAATCAGAAGCCCTAAGAGTGCTGAAAAGAAATTTCTAACCTAATTTGACGTAATTCATTTAGCAAGTAAAGGTTTATGTGTCCAGCTTTGAGCTACAATGTTTTGATAAGCTCATGTGAGATTACTTGGCTTCCTGAGCTGAAATATTATGAGGTTAAGTTCAGACCTGAAGAATGTTCACAAATACCTATTTGAGTTAAATCACTGAAAAATGTTTTTATCAATTTTCAGTGAATGTGACGCGGCTGTTAAAAAGTAAGTCTAACAGACTTTCTTGCCTGTCATAAATGCATTTATTTCATGTAACGTCTTGTTATCTTACACACTCTTCCTAACTGCCACACAAATACTCACGAGGAATGACAACTTCCCTCAAGATTACTGTCCACTTCATGTATTCTAAAAACACTTAGCCACTTTTATAAGGTAAACAGAGTTGTGGAAAATATACTTCTTAGTACAGTCAGTTTAGTTGTAGTACGCTAAATGTGACTAATAGATAAATGATTATCCTGATCAAATGTCTTCAATTATAGTTTGAATGTGTTTATGCACAAATATAAATCACCAGACTGATTTATTCTATTAGAGTAATTAATATACTGATATATTTTAGGATAGTATCTACGAGAATCCATTATTCAAAAGTTTTATAAACCTCAAAAATATTCAGGCTATTTGGTAGAGTGCTTAGTTCCAAGTTTCTATGATATTTAGTTGGAATTCATTAGTAAGATCTGTTTGCAATCTTGAAAACAACCCATATGATAAACTGTTTCGAAATCTATTCACTAAAAAATTTAAGAAGAATATACAGTGTGACAATTTTAATCGTTAGCTTAACATCAAGACTAAATAAGCCTGCCAAAAAAATATTACAGAATTTTTAGTCTACGAAAACGAAGTTTAACTATTTCTCCATACAGATTTTGTTAAATTCATATGTAACATCAAGAATGTTGAATAAAACGATACATTGCCTATTTTCACATGAAATTTATATATATATATATATATATATATATATATATATATATATATCATGTTAGTGATAAACAATATTGATTGAAAGCATCGACGAAGCAGTTAACACAAATTGATGGATTTAACATGAGCTTATTACAAATAACAGAATGACATAATAATTCATTATTTTAACGTATTTGCAATTATTGAACGGAAAAAAGACTAACTTGATCAGTTGGTTTCCATTTTCTAATATTATCACCATCATACATGAAACGTGCGACTAATCCAGTTGTTGGTTCTAGTTTTGTTATTAAAATTAAATAAATAAGTGTACAACATTACTGTGAGATAGACTGCAGAATCAATCAGATTAAACAGTTGAAACTTCAAAAGCTTAAAACAATAGTCTCATACAATCGATTGCTTTGTGAATTCGAATAAAGCCAGAACAACAATTGAGGCAGAATAATGTTGATTCGTTATATTTAGTAGTTTCTCAACAGCCGCTTGCAACCGTATGTATATTGAAAGGTAACATTGAAGTAGGATATTATGTGAAACAATTGATGTAGATGAACGAAAAGAATTAAAATGACAAAGGTCACCAATAATAACGGTATATATAGATTGTGATAATTTTAGAGGTTGAGAAGGCTCTACATAAGATTACTGGAATTGGAAATTGATAAGATGTGTTGCACAATAACTAAACAGGATTTGGACGAAAACTTATGAATGAAGGAATGAATTTTTGTACATAAAATAAGAATTCATTTGGAGAAGACCACGTAACAAAATAATGATCACAATAAAAATAAGTTCTGTATATATAAATCAAGTTTCAGCTTTTTCGTTGCTACTGCTTCGACAAACGGGAAAGACATTGTTTTTTGTGTCCGCTAATAATTTTGAAGGCCTGTATAATTTCAGTGGTATGCTCGGTGTCAATTGGATGCCAAACTATTGCACTACTTAGAGCAGTTGCGGCATACTATAAAGACACATCTAACGCAAGAATACATGGAGTGGAGTTTATATAAATTACAACAGTTTCTGTCCAATAAGTTACAACAAGGGGATTGTATGAAACCTTTTTGGTCGCGTAAGTAAACTTTATTCAAAGGAAAGTCTGGAAGAATTAGTCTTATATATAAGGAGCAGATTTTCTTATCTACCGCATCGTATTTAATCCGTACGTTGGCTTTAACATAAATCTCGATGAACTTCTCTGGATATGCGTTTTCACTAAGGCAATTTGCAATGAAGACCTACACAACTTCACGATATCCGAAATAACAACACATACACCATTTAGTAATCCCGACCGTTGTTGCTACCTTGACGTGGGGGTCGTGCTTGCCTATCGTGATGAAGCAACCGAGCTATATTGGCTGAAACAACCGTTCCTCAAGGTCCTACCATGTCAGACAGGTCGGTTGAAGAGCGGTAAGACTAAAATCAACAAACCCAAGGTCCGAAGGCGAAGTCGTACTGTTGACTGTGCAGAGGCGTGACAGCAGTAACGTGTTTCCTTCAGACAACCAGCATGACAGCGATGCTGCCTTCCCACAAGGGGGGTGGGGTTACGAAAGGTCGACCGTTAAAATGTACACCTCGCCTTACCTCACGGATTTCCGTCTCCGGCTGTAAGGTCTAAACAAGTACGGAACTAACGCAAAAATTACCCATAAAAAAGTCTTGTGTGGCCGACCTCAAGCAGTTGTCCCTTGGGCACTGCGGTCACGCTCTCAAGTTACTAAAACCGCCTTTAATCCGATTTCCTTTTCAGGTACCTCCAGAAGAACCCTTCCACGGTGTGGGCAACCGGGAAGTGATAACCGCCCTCATACCTCTAACAGCACCCAAGAGCACTGTATTCATAATCAACCTCCCTCTTTAATTCCTATTATTCCTCCTACATCGACTTTCAACTTTCAATTTCCTCCCACGGCTTCCACCTCAAGTGTCACCATAGCCAACGATTCTAGTGCTCAAAACTCTGTCCTAGGTCTACTGAAACCTCGCTCCAAACTACACATTGGAGCCTTCAACGTACGCACCCTATGTCAAATCGGTCAGCAGGCTTCCTTGGCTAAAACTCTATAGTCTCATTCCATTGATGTGTGCTGTGTCTCCGAAACACGCATACAGGATTCCAGTGTGGTCATTCACTTGACCTCACCTCGGCAAAACGGAGAGCCAACGACATACACCCTCCGTGTATCTGGTGACCCGATGACCAGTTCTCGTGGACTGGCAGGTGTAGGTATAGCACTAAGCATGAGGGCGGAACAAGCACTGCTAGAGTGGATCCCCGTCAACAGTCGTCTATGTGCTGTTCGGTTAAACGGCTCCGTAAGAACTCGGAAGGATAGGGACACACGTCGTTGCCTTTTCGTCGTTTCTGCCTACGCTCCCACTGACTGCAGCTCAGATAAAGTAAAAGATGAATTTTACAGAAAGCTGACCGAACTTCTTCAGAAAGCTAAACTCTCATACATAGTACTCGTAGCAGGTGAATTTAATGCCCAGGCAGATAGCTTAAACCAAACAGAAAGACATTTAGGTGAGCATTTTAGTATTCTGGCTTAGTGAACAGATAATGGTGAACATCTGCTGCAACTGTGCTCGGACGATCGTTTATTTCTGACAAACACTGGTTCTGAGTATAAGGAGAGACATCGTCTAACATGGCGACCCCCTACACCAACTTACGTCACCTATGGCGAGGGCGAGATATCCGTCTATTAATAAAAGAACGAGTATACTACACGGCAGTTCGTTCTTTTAATTTACGGCTGCAAAACATGGCCATTAAGAGTTGAAGATACTCGTAAGCTACTAGTATTTGACCAGATAACTTAAAAATATTGCTGGCATCTGCTGGGATCACCGGGTAAGTAATAGTTAGGTTAGACACATGGTATTAGGGAATGATGGTAAATCAGTTGATGAGGTTGTGAATCTTCATCAACTGAGATGGTTGGTTGAGTTGACTCAACACTGGTTACCATGTCTCGCAACTCTGACTAGTGTTGGAGACGGCTGGAACTAGGTTAGGGGCGGCTAAACCAAATCTTGATATCAGTGCTTGAAGTCACTAACTTCTAGTCTGAGCCATGTTGGTAGATGCAGACTACTTGATTGTGGTCCGCGTGACTATCGTAACTAATCGTTGGAAACTCTGTGTAACATGGATCAGAATCGATCACAATGCCGTCGGTGTATATACTCTCTCTCTTCCCTTAAACTAAGAGATTGGAATCGCTTCATATCTTTCTTTCTATGTACGAAATCTTTCCTCCTGTACTATATCCCTTTATGCAATCTTTCTTTTATATATTACCACCACTGACTTAACTACTCCCACGAATCTGCTCATCTTGCTGTGCTAATGCGGTATGGCAACTTGGACCGATGCATATATGTGCGCGGTCCTACGTTGTAGCTGACTGACTGACTGACATTTAGTAATATTGTGTGCAAATTAGGAGGGAAAGACTCACATATAAGAAAAAGGGTTTACGGCTTAAAGACGAGGCTAATAATTTACATTAACTTCAATTGATACAACTCTCTTGATTCCTTTACTTTGTCGGCTCAATTGAAAATATCATTTTAAATGGTAGGAAAATGATCTTATTGGATGTCGCTTCTCTTTTTACAAATGTTCCTCTCACAGAAACTATATGTTTTTTTGTGACTATATTGAGAATAATAATATTCCAAAACATTATCCAAAAGAGCTACTTCTACGATTTACTCTCAACATGCAATTTAGATTTAATGATGATTTTTATAGACAAACAGATGTAGTTGCAATGGATTCTCGATTGGGTCCCCTCTTGGCTGATTGCTTCATGGCCAATAATGAAAATACGGTACTTCCACCAATAATTGAGAGATTTAATTTATGTAAGAGATATATGGATGATACTTTCATTATTTGTGAAGAAGACATGGACCTCAATGAAATTTTGAATAGTTTCAATAATTATCATCCTTCAATTCAATTCACTTTGGAAGCAGAGGTAGACGATAAATTTCCTTTTCTTGATGTCCGATTGAAAAGAAGGCTGGATGGTTTTTTTACAGAGATCTATATATAGAAAATTGACTTGGAATGAGCAGTACACGAATTTCCATAGCTAGGCCCCAATGATTAGAAAGAGGAAAGTGATTCACTCTTTATCCTCAAGGATCAGGTGAATATGTTCTACTGATACAGCAGATGAGGAACTACTTCTCATTGGGAATGATTAACCACCTAGATTCGTCGATAGCCACTTAACACTTAGACATCGTCCTGAAAAAGCACCGTCAGTACAAAAGAACCCTTTTATGAATATGGAATTTAAAGGAATACGGCTGCTGAAATCTTAAATAAACGGATTTCAAAATCGTTGAATAAATCGTTCTAAGCAGTTCAACTCCGAATTTTTTTCTCAAGCCGGCCTAACATTCACTGATGTGTTTAGGATAAACCTCCGCTTTGGGCCACATCAATGTGCATATAAAAATTTACTTGCTCATGTGGGGCAGGTTACATTGGCCGCACAAACCGATTACGTTCCAAACGCATCTCAGAACACTATCCAGCATGGCTTTCAAAAGGAGAATGTAAAACAATTACTAGTTCAATAAAGGCGCATTTAATCAACTATGGACACATCACTCCAAAGGAGTCTTCTTTTAAAGTAATCTACACAGTCAAAGGAATTGGATAGAAGGGAAGTCGAACCAATATTTTATGCACCGCTGAGATATTGGCAATCCACGATCTTTGAGTGCAAAGACGGTTCGTTCAGCCTCTCACCCTTCCTTGACCTCAATCCTCTTTAGTGGTGTTTCGACCTTTTTTTCTTTTTTCTTCATTTCTATCTGATTATTATTGATTTCTTCAGTTAGTGTCTTGCAATTTTAAACTGCATTCAGTTATTATTATTATTATTATTATTATTATTATTATTATTATTATTATTATTATTATTATTACTATCCTAAACTAGTTCTCTTGATTATTATTCAGTTTTTGTTATTATCACCTTTATGTTTGTCCTTTTCTTCTTATCTCTCAATTCGACAACTATCTGACCCGTAAATTATTTTTTCCTGAAATTCTTTTCTTACCCTTGATTATTGCGTAACCTCCTTTGATAATAAGTTTCGAATACAGTCTTTTGTATCCTTCTATAGACATATATTTTCCATATAAGTACGAATGTAAAGCTTAAGTAAATGATCTCGTCGAAAAAAAGTTTCTTCGCTGAATTCTCTTTGTTTTCATTCAATATATTACATTTTATAAAAACGAGGGTTTATGATTACGAATACAGTCTGCCAGATATAAACAGTAGGTCTTTTTTATAAATCACTGACTTGTGTTACATTCACTGTTATATATATGTCCCAGTAACTCAGTTTCCTTTGGGGTTTGTTTATTCATGAGAGCATGTAGATGGACTTGAATTAATGTAGGCCAAACTATGCGCGCTCTTTTCACAGATTGAGAAATGTATATTTATACAAATGTTAAATTTCAAATAATCCTTTATGACATTAACAGAAATTGAGGTTCACCTTTCTCAAATCTATACTAATATTATTTAGTACTGACTTACGTAATAAAAATGAAGAAACAGAAATGAATGTCAATACCAAACGAGTAATCCGAATTCGACTATGTCCAAGATATTTATATGTAATATATGTAACAGCAAGTGTATACGCCGAACCACCACCAAAAAGTAGACCTGCACCGAGGAGATGCATAGACCAAACAGCTGTTTCCTAGAAGGAAATCGGATAAAGTACTGGATGCATAATGCCGTAAAATGAGTTTAAGAGGACATTGTTCCATTAATCTCACGATAATAACGATACATGTATTTCACATGAATCAACCTTTATAACCTTTAAAACATAGGTCATAAAAACAACGAGCACATATTTCGTTGCTAAAACAAAAGAACCATAAAAAATAACATGTCATCAAACAAAGTGCTCGGATCATCAGAATAAATAATAACTAAAAAATCACTGTATCACGGAATACAGACAATTTAGAAAAGCGTAATACTACCAACATATGGAATTTTTTCGTTATCCACATACACTTTGATAAAAGTTTACCAAAGTTGACGTAGGCGAGATATCCATCTAACAACGAAAGGACGTATTTACTTCGCAGCAGTTCGTGTCGTCCCACTTTATGGCAGTGAAACATGGCCGGTAACAGTAGAGGATATTTGTAGGTTACTAGTATTCGATCATAGGTGTCTTCGAAACACTGATCGTATATCGTGGGACCACCGAGTAAGCGATGCAGTTTTTGGGACACGGGTGCTAGGTAAGGATGGTAAACCAATTGATAAAGTATCGGATGCGCAATGCTGAAGTGTCCCATACTGGGACGAAATGGCTCTCAAGTGCTTCCAGGTTTTCCATGGTGGTCTAGCTTCAATTGACTAATGAATTCAATTATTAAATTACTAAAATCACCACAAAATCCTCTTCTGATAATAATCATCATGTGCTCACTAGTGACTGGTTTCAAGAGATATTTCCTCGAGTTCTAATGAAATTCGTGACCAGTGGAGTTTAGTCAGGTCTGTTGTGAGACAGTTTCGCAGGCGTAGGCAATCTTTGAGTATTTAACTTGCTTAGATCACTTTTCAAATACATTCAGTGATTTTAAGATTATTTATACACTTCGTTTTCAATTGCCAAAATTTATATTGTCATTCTTTAAAACGGTAAGATTTTTGACTATTCATAACATAAGGCTTGAATTATGTATGTACACATATCTTACCTTTCTATTTGTCTTGGGTCTTAATCAATTTTTGTTGTGGTTATTAATATTATTATATTCCCCATACTTTTCTAGTCAGAAAATTCCCTACTTCCCTAAACTGTTTTTCATACTGCCTTAAATTTCTCACTCAATCATTTCACGTATTATTTACCTAATACCTTCACTTTTCATGATGACATAAATGAAGCGTCTATTTTAATGAACCTACACCATTCAAACAATCGTGTATTACTTCTTTGTTAATGTTATACGCCGTTTTCAGCTACAAACACCACATAGTCATTACGCAACCTTAGAATGACAGTCCTTGTAATTACATCACTATAATTACTCAGTGAATAGTTTTCTCATGTAATGTATACATTAAAATATGTATGACATATGTACACAGTGATAATCGATTCATAAAGGAAATCGCTTTTACAGTGTGCTTTTTTTCTCGTTACGACATTTGATTCTAAAATAAAATTTAGGCACAAGTGAATCGATAGATAAGTAAATTACAAGAATCGTATTTCTTATTTGGTAGGAAGTCAGAGGTAATCGACAGGAAGCCCTAGACATAGTTTTCGTGCAAGTTAGCACTCATTGGCAAGTTAACCAATTGTAAATTTTAAAAGATACCTGAAAACAGCATATTATTGAGTATACTTTTCTAGTACTTTGAAAATACAGTTCGACGCACCAACAGTAAAAAATACGAAGAGAAAAGATTGAAATGGACACTGAAAAATCCGAAAACTTTTACGGTAAAGTGTTCAGTGTCCCCCTGGAGACTATAATAAATAAATAAAACCGTCGAAATTGTGTCACAGAGAACTATACTTTAGTTATACAGTGTCAATAAGTTTAATACTCAAGAAATTCAGATAACCAAACCTCAACATGATAATTCTATTTTTTCAGTCAAATTTCAGTAGAAAATATCAACAAGATAATTCAAACCATTTTGAACTGAATTAAGTCCCATATTCGCTGCACAAGTAAACGTCTTTCTGGACCCAGTGGCTAAGTGAATAAAGCGATGCTGTTGGAGGCCAGGTACCGGGTTTGATTCTTGGAGTGAACAACAACTCTGGGATGTGGGTACATCCAGTCAACGAGTCCTAAATGGAACAAAACGTGCATCCTGAATCCTACTACTAGTGACATTCCATCCAGTCTATATTAGCAACGCAACACTTCTGTGTTCGACAAATACATACTGTTACTCAAAACACAACGGCATGTTGAAGGTGTAACAAATATTCTATCCTCTCACTCCGAAGAACAAATTGTAACACTTTTACAAATATCAAACAGTATATTTATATACTATTCTTCAGTCGTGATATAGCTTGTTTTTTTTAAAAAGTTAGATAGGATCATATGAGAGGAGACGAAGTTGTGTCATAACAGCTAGAGCTAAGAATATTAGATTTCCCGTTTCATCAGATAGTAACTAGTTTTCAATTGATAATTTACTTCCGAATCAATAACTGTACGCTCAGTTGTCCGGCAACATATCAACAATACTAGAAAAGTGATAGCAATTAAACATATGTAGCCTGTTTGTACTACCGACTTTTCATGAAAATTTCCCATTTATAAAGCAGAATATAGTGTAAAATCCTATATTATTTCACTTAACCTCAACTGTTTCAATATTTAGAAACTAATTTAAGTCAGAGGAAAATGATCCGTGACGTCAACTTGCTTACAAGTGCTAAAGAGATACCCTAGGTGCTGCTGTTGTTCTGCATAATAATGTTCAGTTTAGAATGATGAGAAATATGTTCGATGAGAATTTCTAGACTATACTTCTGTATTCAACACTTCCAAAAATCAGTATCATTTAGAAAGTTTGCTAGCGTTAGCGCTGACAGCTAGATAACCGATTGACCGTGCTTATTCCTCTTTATTAACTCAACCTGGTCTTCCACAAAGAGCTGCTCTTCTGTTTTTTCTTTTCTCCTTTATTTTCCATGATCTTCCATCTTCGACAAAAATCACTTTTTACGTATGCGGATGATCTACCTGTGTATATACAAGTTTCTTCCTATTAAAATCGCCTTGAAATGAATGAGTTCTTAGCGCGTATTGAACAACGGTCCATTTTTAATAGTCTTACACTTATTCCTTCTAAATGTAAATCTGTTAACTTCAGCCTGAGAAATGAAAATTACTTAAACATTCTGCTGGAATAACATTGATTTTAATGATTGGAGATTCTGTAGTTAAAATATGTCAAAGCTCATTTACCTTGGGGTACATTTTTCCTCTGATCCCTCTTGATGTACTTATGTTATATTATTATCGGAGAAAATCCTGTCAGTCTTATGTGAAGAGGTTACATGTTTTTGGCATTAACTGATATTTACTCTTACGATTTGTAAATTCTTGTACTTCATATATCATGCTTTACTGCCTCCCATTATTTTTTGGACTTTTGAGAAACGGTTTCGCTGTATTGTGAAGAGTGCTAAAGGCATTTTTAAGGTATTTGATGAATCATTGATGCCATTGTGGAGGTTTGTAAATAGACATTTTAAGTCTTGCAAACTTATGGATGTGTTACTTTATCAAATACTAATCACTCACTCCATTTACATCTTTATTCATGTATACTTCTGGACAAAATGAGAAGCAGATACATTAGAATTCATGGATGCAATACTTTATCTAGAACATTTACCATGTGAAGAACAGGCAGCAAAAGCTGACCTAACTGAAAAATTGTGTGCTTGAACAAATTACTAATTCACAGTTGTATAGATTCTTGTTTTCTGAAAAATATTTCATTTAATTCTGAATAATTAATTTACTTATTTTACATGTATAAGCATATAAGCACATTTTTCTTTTTTGGTGAAGTAATGAATGTGGGCTAATGGTAGGACAAAACAGCTGTTTAGTGATTCCTAGTTTTCAATTGTTCGATAATCAAAGTTAGAAACTTCGAAAACTAATTTACTTGCATATACAATATCAAACAAGTAATTGTAACATAAACTCATTACAATGTTCATTATTACACATAAATTGACAATACTCAGGGAAATATTTGGATACAAGTATACAGTGGTGTTTTTAAAATATGAAAATTATAAGAAATATATAATAATTTATAATATTGGCTTACTTGAAAGTTGGCTACTATACTCATACCAACTGCACATATAAGACCAAAACATAAAGCAACTCTAGCCAATCTAATTTGACGATAACATTGTTGATTAAATTTCTGGCTACAATCTAGCAAATGTTTATGCCATGAGTAGAAGCATAAACCTGCTTTATTATTATAACGAACAGATGACAGCAGTAAGGAAAAAATGACAAATAATACATGATTATGAAAAATTGTGGGAGAGAGAAAGGCAACATGTATTCTTAAATAAGGTTATTAAACCAAATAACAAATACAAGATCAATAAAATAGTTACAAATATTGTATAGCATGTATACAATGTTTCCTCAAGGTATCCTGCAATTTTTCATAATGGTGACTAAAAAATAACCTATCCGAATAGTTACTTATATTTATAAACAAATGTAAGAGCTGACAAATGTGTTCAACGATTCAACTGGCCACATTTCACATCAGAACAATGGGAGGAATTTGGCAAGTTCTGTAGTGATAAGTGAAAATAATTATAGCGATGGTAATAGAAAACTAAACATAAATTTATCCATATATTTCTAACTTAATTCTGCACTATCCATCAGAGTAGCTGATACAGTAAGGATGTATAGCATATATCTTCAGCAAATCTCTACACAGAAGGGGTAAAAATAAAACTAAACAAGTTTCACCTAATCATTTACAACATATCAATAGATTAGGTCAAAAAAATTAAGCAAAGGTTATACATTCAGTTAAGAATCCAACAATTCTAATTAGTTATACTTATTAAACTTGTTGATTAATTGAAAACTTTCTTAATTTTACTATTACTACCACTGCTAATATCAGGAAATATTGCAGTCTATGTGTGTTAATAATGAAAGCACTATTACAGTACCCAAGTATATCCAGATGAATTATAAATTTTCAAAACATTATAAAAGTATTTTTCACTAAAGTAACAAAGATTGTTGTTAGCTAACAATCGAACATGTGATAGTGACTACAAATACTGCTTTTGCTAATAATTATTTGACAATTTTTTTATGATGTCACTAGTCGAAATGAAGTATTCGATGATGAATAATGTTGAATAGATTACAAACTGCATCATTGCTTATAATTTAATAACATGAAACAAATAAACAGAACATATAGAGTAAGAAACATTGAGGTATTGATTGTTAGATAGATATCATTTTAAAGAATCCCAATAAATATGAGGAATGTAAATTTTATTTTGTTTAACCTCAAGTGTCGAAGATAAAACAGTGCTAGTCTATTGATACATCGACACTTGACTCATTATTAATTACATTGAATTTTTTTATCCATAGATTTTTCTACCAACAATTAATATCTTATATGGTTACTATCCAATGACTAGATGATACAGTTAATTATATACGTTTATATATATACGTTATATATGATTTGGTGAGGATAATGAATACTTTCAAGTCTAAAGACACAATAATCTCTCATACAGATAAATGATAAAGATGACACGTAGGTTGAATTACAACCTGTTAATTATGATTACATATTAAATCTTTAAATATACATATTGAAGTACATTACATTAACAGAATATTAAACAATGTGAATTATGTTATTTGTCATTTACCCAAAACTGAAACAATATTTAATAATTGACCGAAAATACAACTTTCTGGGATCTTTGAACCAGCATCACTTAGGTATTTTAAAAAAGAAAAAGAAGAGTGGGAAGAAAACAGTTTAGATCCACTTGTAATCTATATTTTTAATAATGGCAGTAACAATGAAAAATAATTTATTTTTGTCTTATATATGGTTACTTTTTATAGTATTAACCATGTAAAATGTTTCCTGAAAGAAATTGACTAACATTTCAGTCAATCATACATTCTTTTGAGAGCTACTAAACTATAAACCATACATTCTGACTGGTAGTGGAATTAAGTAGGTGTTTTCTTCTGATTTAGGACTGGTTAGTCGCATTTACTTGACTCCTAGCGTTTATGTTAACCAAGAGACTCAGATTTAGGATCTATTGCTTCAATGATAATTACAAAACTTTTCATAAGAAATAACACATGCCTTCTAGTGTTCTATTCTTCCCAAACTGGAACCGGGTCGCCCCAAACAAATTGTAAGTTAAAACAAATTTTCACTCATTTCAGTCTCATTAAATGGTTTTGAATGGTTACATATGGATCAACACATAAGCATTCACTTTTTATCATCTCTTAAGTCCTGAGTTTCAATCTTATTTCGTACTTTTTATCAGTTGCATTCAGATCATGTTCTCGAACCGTATTCTCCAATGTTTATGATTTCTCACCATCAATGATACTACTATAAACCCGGTTGTTTTGTTGTTCCCCTTGTTAGTTTCGTCTCTCCATGTTTATGTAGTTACGGCAACTTGGACTAACAAATATTTGTGACAGCTTCTGTTGTGGTTGACTGAGGCGAAAATCCCAACATAAACAAAAGCAAAAATAAACCATTCATATAAATTATTTGATAAAACCGTTAATTTCAATGAACTAATAAGGTTGGTAACAGTATTTTCTTTCATTCACTATCTTCAATATCGATAGATTTTATATGATACTACATATCTTACCCCAATGTACAAATAATATGCCGAAAATGATAATCCACAAACTTTAGAGTGATTTATAGTTTAATTAATTAGTCATTCATTGTTAAATACTAACATATTCACTTAAAACAACCAGATAAATAATATATTTACTAATTCGCTTAAATATTGTTTCTTGGTCCCTATCCATTTAAGATTTGAGAAATTGTTTCGGGTCAGTCATGTTATTTGTAACGTAGAACTTGACATACATATTTATCAGTTCAAGTTGTCATACCACTCTAGTACAGTGAGATAAAATTATCAAGAAATCCTAAGGTGATAAAAGTAGTAACAGTACCATTAACAGTAGTAAAGATTAGGTATAAGAAGAGAAAACTAGGTATAGAGACCTCAGGACTCAGGTTCTGAAGGAAAACAAAGCGTACGTGCATCTGTACTATTGCAAAAGATTCTGAGCCATTATTATTATTATTATTATTATTATTATTATTATTATTATTATTATTTACTACGTCATTATTCACCCTCTTTCATTCCTACTCTGTCTATACTTATTTTTTTCGACTTATGCAGTAGCTCATCTATGGTGGAAAGTCGGTTGTATCTAAACATTCTCGAGTCACTGTCCGGTTGAAAATTGTATGTTACCACCGAATACGAGGACTGAAGCAGTTTTTTTGAAACCACGTGCACCATTCAAACTGGCTGCCTTCAACGTTCGCGCATTTATGCAGGTCGGACAACAGATAGGGCTGGCTATGTCTTTGGAAAGTCTTAATATCGACGTGTGTTGTCTATCCGAGACCCGTATTCAAGACTCTGGTGAAGTACTACAAATTCGCTCTCCATCTGTTGCTTCGAAAAGCTTGTTTTACGTGCGCTTATCCGGGGACCCTGTGGCATCTTCGTCTGGTCTTGCTGGCGTTGGTGTCGCACTAAGCGCTAGAGCTGAGGCAGCACTAATCGATTGGATTCTCATTAACAGTCGGTTATGTGCTGTTAGATTAAAAAGTTCCATCAAAGTGAGAAGAAATCGGCGTGAGAAACGATGTCTTTTCGTCATCTCCGCCTATGCCCCGACAGATTGCAGCCCAAATGCAATCAAGGATGAGTTTTACCACCAGTTATCTGTTCTCCAGAAAGTGCGTTCGACAGATATTGTAGTACTAGCCGGAGACTTGAATGCTCAGGTCGGGCGTCTAGGCACAGAAGAGAGTCGTTTAGGTGGCCGATGGGGACTCGTTGGTCGCAGGTCAGATAACGGGGACCGTCTACTGCAACTGTGCACAGACCACAACCTGTTTCTGGCTAGCCCTAACTTTCGGCACAGTCATCGCCGCTGTGCCACCTGGCGTCCTCCCTCTGCATCCCAAGCCTGGACTCAGATTGATCACATCGCGATCAGATACCGCTGGCATGGTTGCGTACAAGACTGCCGCTCCTTTTGGAGTACCTATCTGGACTCTGATCATGCCTTGGTCTGCACCAATCTTGCCTTACTTTTCAGTGGCCAACGAAGTGACCGCCACAAACGGATTGATGTTAGCAAGTTGGTTGCAACTTCTGTTGCAAGTAAGTAGCAAACCGAGCTAGCCTCTAGGCTAGCTACCATTCCACCGAAAAGTATAGATGAGCATTGGTTGCAATTGCATGGCGCCATGAAAATGGCGGGTACAGTCAGTTGTGGGTTTGCGAAACGTCCCGCTTATAAGCACTGGGTTTCTTCAGGCTCCATACAACTCATTGAAGCCCGTCGGTCTACTCTGGGTGACCGTGCGTTTGACCACAAACGAACGTTGTTACGTAGTGAAATTGGGCAAAGCTTGCATAAGGACCGAGAAGCCTGGTGGTCGGAGCGTGCTAATGAGCTGGAAGCAGAAGCTCCATCGACGTCTTGGACGATGGGCAGAAATTTTTGAAGGGCGGTTCAACTGGTCTGCTGCTCCGGCAACATCGGTCAGACTGGCCTACCCTCCATGGCCGGTGACGACTGATCCAACAAATGAGGAGGAAGTCCGCAAGGAACTCCAACTCTTGAAGAGTTACAAATCACCTGGCTTATATGACTTACCTCCGGCTCTTTTTAAAGATGGTGGTGACTTTTTGACTAAGGAATTGATGACGTTGTTTACAAAGGTTTGGGAACTTGAGAGTGTACCAACGTCATGGAATGATTCGATAGTTGTCCCTATCTTTAAAAAGGGTTCACGTCGTTCCTGTAACAACTATCGGGGGATAAGTCTCCTTCCGATTGCGTCCAAGCTATTGGCTTCCGTCATACTTCGTAGGTTGTTCAAAACCCGAGAAAGATTGACTCGCGAGGAGCAGGCTGGGTTTCGTTCTGGTCGAGGATGTATTGATCATATCTTCACCCTCCGCCAAATGTTAGAACACCGCCATACTTTTCAAAGGCCAACAATCGTAGTGTTTCTTGACATCAGGGCTGCCTTCGATTCGTTGGACAGCACTGTTCTCTGGAATTGTCTATTGGAGAAGGGTGTGCCTGAGAAGTTTATTGACATCCTAAAAGCCCTGTATAAAAACACCTCAGGCAGAGTGAGGGCATACAACCACCTCTCTCCATTGTTCTATTCGAGCAGTGGGGTTATGCAGGGTTGCCCAATCTCACCATTCCTCTTCAACTTTGCCATCGACGACATTCTGGAAACAGCTCTGATGGATGTAAGTAATGGTGGTGTGGATCTGTTGCCTGGAGAAAGACTTCTCGACCTTGAGTATGGGGACGATATTGTCTTACTGTGCGATAATCCCCAAGACATGCAATTCGCGCTTAATCAGTTGACAATCAGTGCCCGTAGGTATGGTATGTGCTTTGCACCTTCAAAGTGCAAAGTACTTCTACAAGACTGGCAGGATTCTAACCCTGTACTCACCCTGGATGGTGAGCAGATAGACGTAGTCGAGAAGTTCGTGTATCTGGGCAGCTGCATAAGTGCTGGTGGGGGTGTGAGTGATGAGATCAATGCACGTATAGTGAAAGCCAGAGCGGCTTATGCTAATCTGGGCCATCTTTGGCGCCTTCGTGATGTTAGTCTGGCCGTAGAAGATCGGATTTACAACGCATCGGTGAGAGCAGCTTTGCCCTATGCTTGTGAAACCTGGCCACTCCGAGTTGAGGACGTTAGACGACTTTCTGTGTTCGATCATCGCTGTCTCCGAAGGATTGCTGACATCCAGTGGCAACACCATGTTAGTAATGTAGAGGTTCGGCATCGTGTGTTCGGGCACAGAGATGATAATTCAATTGGTGTCACCATCTTGAAACACAGACTTCGGTGGCTTGGACATGTTCTACGAATGTCGTTCCAGAGAATTTGTAGTGTCAGTTATTATGCCAAGCCCATATACATTATTCTAGCTTCCGGACATCCCATTTTATTCATTCTACTCGAGCCATACTTTAACCTTGTTATTTATTCGCTTATCAATCTAGACTGTTTTTATATGATCGTATATGTGAGTGACCTTCTTATCCTATTAATCACATGTCTGTAGCTTTATTTTGTCTGACTATAAATATTGAGTAACGCTTGACTAAAATGGAGTTGGCTTCCCAGCCATCTTCCATACGTGTCATTTTGCTTTGCTATGTTTCATTCACTTCATAAACAAAATATATGTATTCACAAATCAATTCTCGTTATTCGACTTATTTAATTCCGTTATTGGCTAACGCGATTAAGTCGACGATTATATACGAGAATAGGTGATAGCAAACATTCGTACGCTCTAAATGGAGTCAGATCAAAAGGGCCACTAAAATTCCATGTCGTGCATTATTTGCCGACTCTGGGACTGGTTGGAAAAAGCGGAGGTGGTCAGTATATGACATGGTGTCGTGGTATGAAAGAAAGCTGCAAAAGGCTGGCTTTTGTCGGTCCTTCACGACTCCCTGGTTGGGGTCCGAGAGATGATGCGACACAGTGGCTAGAGACGTTATCAGATATGGCTCAGAATAGAAGCCAGTGGTGATCATGCTGTAACCTTCTTTTACTTTCTTCATAAAACGTGATTGTATCTTCCTTAATTGAGAGATTTCTTCTGATTGTACCCTTCTGTTCCCCTACTATTACTTTTA